GAAACTGTTTTCCTGAATTTGTTCAGCTATGAAATTGTGATTATCATTCATAAAGTGATCTGGTACACCATTTGCACACTATGTAAATTGCACCTAATATATCCCCATATAGTAAGTCTTAAATCTTTTAGCTTTTTAAGAAATTTAATTTCTACAAATTAGTATCATATAATTAAGTACCAGCCCCATAATCCAAAAAATATACACAAATTATTTGGCTCCTGAATTTTTGCAAACCTGCATTTCATTGTCGGCCAGCGAATGGTAACTTTGTTGAAAAAAGTGGAAAAAATGAAGGTCAAGATGCTGTGTTATCTCCTAATGTAGCATTTTTAGGATTTAATACAGACTTAATGATGTTTTTCTTGGGCAACTCCCCATTAGAAATTCTGATAGACAACAAAGCTGCCTCTACAGATATGTGGTTAACTGCGGTTGCATCCTCCCATATGCACTGTATATGTACATTGTGTCATTGTGAAGGCTATCTTGTAGATTATAATATTCCTTTACATGGTCCCATTTTCATGTAAAAGCTATTGCTAGGAAAAAGAGGAAAGTGTGGGGAGATGTGGTGAATGCAAAAAGGCTTGAAATAGTGAGAAGGGACAAGGCTGTTTTAGCATTGTATTTGCAGGGTGGGTCAGTGTTTTGTGCAAATTCTTTCTCTTGGAAGTGCAGCATAAAAAACTGGGGCTGAAAGGCCACAGATGGAGTGAGCCAAAGGAGGTGGGTGGTTATTTATTTATTTATATTTTTGTATGCTGTCCCATTGCTTATAGCCTCGGGATGGCTCACATAAAATAAACAAACATAATACATAGTAAAATAATACAATTAAAAACCCAGAATCACCCTGGCTGCAAAATAAAAACCTATAGATATTATTAAGAGTTGTTAAAATATTGTTTAAATAAAAAGGTCTTAGCCTGACGCCGAAAAGTAAATAACAACGGCGCCAGGTGGACCTCTCTGGGGAGCGCATTCCATAGATGGGATGCCACCACAGAGAAAGCCCTCCTCCAGGTACTTTGCCTCCTGATATCTCTCCCGAAGGGCTCCCGGAGGAGGGCCTCTGCTGCCGATCTCAAGGGGCAGGAGGGCAAATATGGAAGCAGGCGTTCCTTTAGGTATTCAGGTCCGAAGCCATTAAGGGCTTTATAGGTGATTACCAGTACCTTGAATTGAGCCCGGACTTCGATGGGAAGCCAGTGAAGCTGGTAGAGGACTGGGGTTATGTGAGAGTAACGCCCAGTCTCCGTCAGCAGCCCTGTTTTGCACCATCTGAAGTATCCGGACTGTCTTCAAGGGCAACCCCACGTAGAGCACGTTACAGAAATCCAACCGGGGAGTAACCAATGCGTGCGTCACTGTCGCTAGGCAATCGTCCTCCTGGTAGGGACGCAGCTGATGGATTAGCCGAAGCTGAAGAAAAGCGCTCCTTGCCACCGCAGTCACTTGAGCTTCCAAGGACAGCTCCGGGTCAAGAAGCACTCCCAAGCTGCGGACCCTGTCCTTTAGAGGGAGTGCAACGCCATTCAGGACAAGGTCCAAGTCACTTACCCAGGAGTTTGAACCACCTGCCAGCAGCACCTCCATCTTGTCTGGATTTTTATTGGCCAGGGACCAGTTCAGTACAGCTACTGCCTCACCTCGATCGGTTGAAAAAGAGAGGTAGAGCAGGGTATCATCAGCATACTGATGATTCCGCAGCCCACACCTCCTGATGACCTCTCCCAGCGGTTTCATGTAGATGTTGAATAGCGGGGGGACAGAATGGACCCCTGCGGTACTCCATGGCAAAGCTGCCATGGCGCAGAGCCAAAGTCCCCCAGCACCACCTTCTGGAATTGGCCGTCAAGGTAGGAGCGGAACCACTGCCAAGCAGTGCCTCCTACTCCCAGCCCTCTTAGCCTATCCAGAAGGATACCATGGTCGATGGTATCGAAAGCCACTGAGAGGTCCAGGAGGACCAATAGGGATGCACTCCCCATCTCTTTCCCTGCACAGGTCATCAGACAGGGCAACCAAGGCAGATTCAGTACCATACCTGGGTCTGAGGCTGGACTGAAATGGGTCCAGATAATCAGTCTCATCCAAGAGAGCTTGGAGTTGTCCCACCACTACCTGTTCCAACACCTTGCCCAAGAACAGGATGTTGGCCACCGGTCTATAGTTGGCAGCCATCTCTAGATCCAGGGACGCCTTCTTTAGGACCGGCCTGAGCACTGCCTCCTTTACAGGGGCAGGCATCCGGCTGTCCCTCACAGAGGCGTTGATGACCTCCAGGATCCAGGCACCAATCCCGTGTTTGGCTTTGGTCAGTAGCCACGATGAGCAAGGGTCCAGTAAACAGGTGGTGGTACATACTTGTCCAAGCACCTTGTCCACATCATCAGGCTGCAATAACTGAAACTCATCCAACAATATGTGACCAGATGGTGACATTGGCACCTCCCCTAGGGAATCTGAATCACTAGTGGAGTCCAACTCGTGACAAATCTGAGCAATTTTCTCCTTAAAGTACTGAGCAAAGTCGTCACAGCGGGTTATCGAGGGTGGTACAGGATCTTTCCTAGGGCCAGGATGTACCAGCCCTTGTACCATCCGAAAGAGCTCCGCTGGACGGCACTGTGAGGAGGCAATGGAAGTGGAGAAGAATTTCTTCTTCACTGCCTTCACCGCCACAGCATAGGCTTGATAATGAGCTCGTGTGTTCGGTCAGATCCAGCCCGTGATTTCCTCCACCTATTATTGCTGTTCTATTTCTGCCTGGTCAACATCCTCTTTCACTGGTTGAAGTTATGGGGGAAAATGGGCTCCTTGGGCCTAATCTCCACCTTTGAGGCACCCAGGTCTAATATAGGGAAAAGTAAAAAAATGACCAACCCTGAATAGTGCTCCTCCTAGCAAGAGAGGTAAGAAAGTTGACATAAGCGAGACAAAAGAACAGTTCCTGCCTACTCTTTTTTGCATACTTGCCCCTAGAAGTGACAGAACTCAGGTATGTTACCACTGGCAAGGGTTGGTTGGTGGCTTGATGTTTACTGGCTTCCTGTCTGGGGATGTCTACCTCAGCCACCATTTCCCAGCATCTGTTGTATCACAGAGAAAGTTTGTTTATATATTTACAAGCATTTATAAACTAAATGCTTCAATCTAAAAACTTAAAAGTGGTGTCTACAAAGTAGAAAAATAAAGCTGGATACATAAGACATGTACATAAGGCAGAAAGCTACATTACACAGGGGTGGTTTGCCAAAACAAAAGGGTCAACATTTATCCAAAATTAAATTAAAATAAAAGCTGTAGATCTACCACTTTTCCCAACAAAAAGGGATACTTCAGGTAAGGTGAGGCTTGATTCTCATTCCCATTCAAAGATGAACAGTTAGTCCATCTTCCCTCTATTGCAGCCTTCTCCAACCAGCTGTGTTGGGCTACTGCTTCTAGGATGCTTGCTGGCACATGTTGGGAATTGTCGCTCCATACAGCAGTGTAATCTATCCATTTTCGACATCAAGTTGACCTCCTTGGAGCCAGCCCGCTCCCTCCTATCTCCGTTCTTGGTCGACACTATCAATTCCCAGAAATGCTACGGGGTGGGGTGGGGGGCGTGTGAAGGAAAAAGATACCGCGAGTGGTTTCGCGAGTATATCCGTTGCCTCCCTCCTCCAGTCAACCCATATTCAAGTTTAGACAGGCAAAAAGCTCTACCACTCCAAGCATGCCCCAATCAGCAGAGCTAGGTGTTGTAAACTAAGTAAGCTAGGTATGTTTCTTCTTTGAGCGAGTCTCAACTTGCATAAGATGGCGCCTCAAAGAGCGTGCCCTGCAACAATACTCAAGCTCCCCCCCAAGTGTGTCGGACTATCGTTCCCACCAAACCCAGCCAGCCGATGGGACTAGTAGTCCACCTCGTCGGAAACGCGAGGGTCTGATGCGGGCATGCAGGACGCGCGCCCGCCTCCGATGCTCGCGGGGCCGTGGAGAAAAAGAGGGCAAGACCGGCCCGAGCGGCCCAGCGGCGTTGCCCTCAGTGCCATGGCGACGGGCGCGCAGAAAACGCGTCATCCTCCGCCCGCCCCTCCGGTGCAGCTCCAGCGCGTGAGCGAGGGCTCCAGCAGCCCGCCGGCCGGTCTCTCCACTACTCGGCCGGCTCCGCGGCGCTGGGTGCCAGTGGCAGGTCCGAGTCTCCAGGGTGGCTGGCGCCCAGAAGTGCCTGGCAAGCGGGGAGGAGGGGGAGGAGGCGGCTGATTTCGGGAGGGGAGAGTCGGCGGGCCGGGCTGCTTTGGGGCAGCGGCTGCCCAAGGAGTGGGGCACGTGCGCCGAGCCGGAGCCGATCGCTTTCCTTCGTTGCGGGGTTCTGCGGTGAGAGAACCTTACCGAGCATGACTTATCGAGAGGCTGCGCTGGGTTTCGCCATCGATGGCCTTGCACGGTGTGATGCCTTGAGCGAAGCAGAGTTTTAATGGCTTGGGACCCTGAAGGTGGTGGAGGGTCTGGGAGAGGTGGCTCTTTTTTAGGGAGGACTTGGAGAGCCAGCAGCATCTCTTCTCATTGTCTGTGCGCTGCGGGCAATTAAAAAAAGATGGAACCAATTGCTATGAACTCTCCATTGAATGCTCAGTAAGGGATCTTTCAGGGAGCCTAACCCTAAGTAACAATTTAGGCCCGTTTGTGGCTGAGGGATGCTATGGATTCTGCAAGGGATGAGTGGAGCAGAGCCTTGGTGAAAATACTTGTTTGGTACCTACAGAGCATCTTGAGGATGTGAACAGTGGATAGGACAGAGATGGCGAGAAAACTGGAAAGGACTTTGGCAGCTTAGTGCAAAATATGTCCTCCATACTCAGAGGTGAATTAGCAGACTGTGGGAGTCTGGCAAATGCATATCATTGTTTTTAACTGCTGGCAAAAAGAAAGAAGTTCTTCCATAGAGCAAATGCATCTGATGTTCTTAGAGCTGTGCACTATAGATGTTTCTGTTTTCTGACTAAAGTATAATAATGAATGGACACAGTTAAAGCTGATTTGTACAGATTAAGATTCAGAGTAGATGCTGGAAGAAACTCCAGCTTCCTTTTTAATATGGGTTGCTTCTCTTTCTCCCCTTTTCCTTCAGTCTCCTGTTTGTATGCCACTGGTGTACTTAACTAACCCTGTGTGAAAGTCTTTTCCATCATCTAGCCAAGTTGGCTTAGATTGGTGCCGTTCCCTTGGTGACTGCATAGCTTGAATGAAATCCCTTTGGCAGTAGCCTGCCTGCTGCACGGGGACATTCAACACCTGATACTAATATCTGGCAGTTGTACTTTTATTTATAGCAAATCTTTTGAGCCTGCTGTGTATTTATACTCTGTGCTGCTTCAAATCAGGCCCAAGTAATCTGTTTTAACTGCTTATGATTTGTAAACTGCGCAAAGCATATCCAGAAAGAGGGATTTTATTGGGTTTTCTTTACATTATTGTGAGTTTAGCATTCTTTAGGAATGTGCAGTTTACTCCTATAGCTTGTTCACTTTATCATGAGTAGACATACTAAGGCATCTTTGGAAGCTCCTGTTTTCCAATGAAATAAGAATCTACAGAATTGCTTTCAAAGCCTATAAACTCAATATTTGTGCTTTTACTGGTTTTTTGACTATTAGCAAGGTGTCCTCACTAAATATATTTGAGAAAGAGAGAAAAATTACATTAGTAGCTTTGAGAATTAAACATGTTTTGTGTGGTATGAAGATCAAAAAGATTGTGAGAGAGAGAACACAAATTTTGTTTGCAAACCTCTAAAGCCTTTATGCAGAATGTGTAGAACAAACGTGTGTGTTCCCTGGCTGGTTATCTGTAGTAAAATAGACATAGAGGAATGCTGCATATATGCGATAAAGACTTATCTGAATCACATGGTGCACTTGAAATGCATCAAATCATCACAGGAATTAGACTTGATCTTACACCCTCATTTGACAAATACAGATTTTAAATATGCTTTTATTGTGTCCTTGATCGTTGATGGAAGTTTTCTTATTTACTCAGTTATTATGGCCTGATTTGGAGAAAAAAAAGTTTCTTTGTTATACTCACAATTTCTTTCATATGTTTGCATGTACCATTTAAAACCATTTGTATGATATTAGAATTATTTACTTGTAATTGCTGTATATCTCTAAACAACACAAAGCACTGTGTGCACCAAATCTTTAACTTGTAGTTCAGATATTCACCATCGTACTAGGTTTGGCAGTTATTTCTGTTGTTTTGTTGCATATTAGCATGCTACACTTTGTGTGTTTTGAAAAAGTAATGTTCAGAAATAAGGGATTTCAGTAATAAGGGATTTTACACAGAACAACAGCATACATTTCTTTTCACTACTGTGGTGCTTGCCCATCCCACCAACCTAGCAGAATCTGGAGCCGTTCCAACCAAGGGTTTGTGTTGGACTTTGGTCAGGTTAGCATCAAAGAATATGGTAGGCAGTCTAAGTTCCTGCTGTGTGTTACATGTTAAATGTGTTACATTGAAATCATAATCTGCTTAGAACTTTTTCCTAGGTCCCTGAAGGATGTTGCTAGCATATTTTGGGAAATTCAAGTTACTGGGCTTTCTCATTTCTACTGTACCACCTCCCACCATGGTGGGGCAACCCCAATGGTTTATTCATACCTCTGACCCTTTTTGTATACAAAGCAGTGTGTCAGTCAGTTTTTACAGAAGAGGTGGGTGTGTCAGTCAGTTTTTGCAGTCAAACATGCTTGTATTTAAAAGGTTCTGATCCCTCCCTCTTCTCTATCTTATTCATTCCACTCCATCACTGTTATCACCAGCCTTACTTACATCGGATTTCAAAGCCAGAAAGAACCAGTTTGCAGCAGCAATTGCAAGGGGAAGGGTTAAGCTCCCCTCTCCTGGAACTTCATTGGTAATAATCAGACTGTTATTCTACTCTGTATTTGTGAATAGAGAACAAACATCAATTCCTCCAACCACATCTAGTTTTGGTCTTTCTACAGTGGCAATAAAGAGTATATCAGTTGATATTATGGACAGTCTTAATGTGCAGCTTAATCCTGAAAGTGCTTAGTTGGAAATTAGTCCCACTGACCATACACACATACTATCCATACTTGAACAAAAGAAGAATTTACTGTCTTTGTTTATACTGAATACTTTCCAAATAATGCTGATTATTCTTGTTTTGTGTGTTTTGCAGCCATTTTTTAACACTAACTTAATTTTTTTCTAGCTCATGGTATTGAATTTAAATTGTAAGTCATGGATGATGCTGCTTTGTCACTTGGAGCAATTGATGTTTCCTATTCATCGTCTTCAGCAGAATGCACCGTTTCAAGGTGTAAGCACTCCAGTGAAGAATGGGTAAATAAAATGCATAGTTTTTCATTTTCTTGTTTGCTTATGTGCAAGACTTCTGCTTATTCCAGAAAATCGCAAATGACATTTATGATGAATAGTACAAGCTCTCAAGAGCTTCTCAGCCATTTATTCTATTGCTTTTTAACTATGTAAGGTTCTCTGTGTATAACAGTGCAGTGCAGTATTAAACAGAAGATATATGTATTTGAAAAGAGCTTAGGCTATAATGAGATAGGTAATGCCTTTGTTGTACATATAAGATGGGATAGACAGAAACAATGAAACAGCTTGGGAAATATTTCTGGATGGTCTAGTTCAGGTAGAAATAATGATAAAAGTGCATGCTGTGCTTGGAGTAGGCAGGAAGAACAATAGATAGTTGGCACAATAGACGTGGCTGGAAAGAAAGTGCTTGTGAAGTGGATGAGGAGGTGATGAGGATCAGTTGAACTTGAAACTGTAGAAGATTTGGAGATACGGTCAGAGATGACTGAGAAAAGAAATATCCTGGCAGCTGTGTCTGGGTTAAGAGGCTGCCATAAGAAACAGAGGAGACCGTGAGAATGACTTAGCTTTCAGAATGGGCAGAAAAGATTCAGATAAATAGTTCTATTATAACATTAGAAAAAGGATAAAAATAAGATTTAAAGGCTATTTCAGTGTAGCAGAATTGTCTGTGCTTAAATAATATCATTCATATGATATGGGACAGTGTCAGGAAAAAATTGAGATCATTAAAAAGGTTTCAATTCATTTTTATATAACACTATAATAGTAAATGTAGGTGCAGTATTGCTACTATGTCTACTTCTAGTACTAAACCATCATTTTCTTTTACTGTTTAACTTTTACTTTGTATTTTATTTTTAGTGTTCTCCTTAACTTCTCTGCAATTAGAGTTTTTGTTTTCTTTGTCCCTCTTCTTTCCATCCCTGCCATCTCAATGATAGTTATAGAGCTGTAATCCCAGTCTGCAATCATGCTTGACAGTCTTGCTTATTTAAAGCCAGTCCTATGCACAATTGCTTAGAAATAAACCTCATAAAAGTATTATGGGATGTGTACTAAGCTGCATCTTCCCTTATACTAAAAAGCTTTTCACAATGCATTAGCTTCTAATAATTCTTATTATCCAAGTAATGAATTGAAAATTCCTGTGGCTTTTTTCAAATAGCGTTTTACATTTGTAAGCTCAATATTTAAAGACAAAATATTGGTATAATAAATATTACATAATTTTGTTTTAAGTATACTTCTATTTTAATTAGCAAATTTCAGACTTACGGTATTCATTAGCTTTTTATGTGCTTTATATTTTACAGTCATACAATGCAATCCTAAACATGTCTATTCAAAAGTAAATCTAATTGAATTCAGTGTGCCTTACTTCCTAACAAGTGTGTGTTGGATTGCAATCTGACACTCAGAATATATTAAGATACTTTGTATTTTGCAAGTATACATACTCTGTGTTCAAAAGTTGCAGTTTGGGTATTTTATAATAATGGCGGTTTGGACTCTGGATTATGATTTGTTTTTAAAATATTAATCTTTATATTGTGTCATATGAATTGAGTAATGTTTTTTCACATGAACATGGACATAGAGATTAAGTCTGCTTTTTTCAGTGGGAGGTTAAATCACACAAATCAGCTGAAATTGATGGGACTTACAAGTGTGTAATTGTCACTGATTCATATAAAAGCAATACACAGAAGTACTTTAATTGTGTGCTATCACATTGATTGTATTTTATAGGGAGAATGCAATTCTCGGCCTACTGTGTTCCGATCAGCCACTTTGAAATGGAAAGAAAACATACTGGGCAGGAATAGGCCTTTTGTGGGACGCTGTTGCTACATATGCACTCCTCAAAGCTGGGTAAATTGGATGATGCTTGTAACAAACTAAAACTTAATTTCCATGTAGTGGGATTTAAATGGATGTTTCAATTTCATAATTAAAATAATTGCAAAATCATCTCACAATGCTTACTTTAACTTTTTAATTTTAGATTCTGCCTGGCTTCATATTCATGTATTAAAGAAAGGGTCTTATGTACACTCTGTGGTCATTATGAAACCATGATTGGTAATGGAAGGAATCTTTGTTTTCTGATACGTTTTTTTTCTGCTTTCAGGACAAGTTTTTTAATGCTAGCATCCCATCTTTGGGCCTTCGTAATGTTATATATATTAATGAAACACATACCCGGTAAGAATTTTTTTTGTGTAGTTAATACCATGGTTTTGGGTTGGTTTGCATGATCAAAATAAGCTACCATGACTTATTTAAATCTCAGCATATGTGGGTGCAGTTTTCATAATTACTGCTGGGTGTGGCTTGTTGCCTTATCTTGTCTTGTGGGAGAAAGAAGCCATTCTCCATATAGAGAAGCTTGCATTTTGGCTTTAAGTGCATATGTTATCTGTGTTGAGTTGATTATGCAGTGATAATATCAACTCATAAGACTGTGTACTTCATGGGATTGTAAGGAGCTGCTTTGGAATCCTTTCCTCCAGAATCTGTGGACTTCCTCTTGTGCTCAGCCTATTCCTGCAAAGTGAGCTGAGCCAAGCAGTCTGGGAATGTTCATGGCTCCTGGATGCAGAACTAGCAACATTTACCAGCCACCATTCTTGGCCAAGCTTCTTTCCTGCTCTCTGCAGCTGGTGCTGGTGGCATGTGTGGAAAAGAGGTGCAGTGAGCAGGCAGGCTGGCTGCCATTCTCAGCAGCAGACTTCTCAGCTTGCTGCCGCTAGCTAGTTTCTGGTGAGTTCCCCATGAACCCTGGCCATGCTCACCAGGAACTTGGATTCTGGGCTGCTATAAAGTCCAGGAAAGTCCAGGAGTCCAAAGTCCAAAGTCCAGGAAACTAAAACAAGGAAATCTGGCAATTTTTTTTTTTTTTGCACAAGATAGATTCCTTGCTCAGCCCTAGTGCTAACAGAGAAGCTACAAGCATGCAGGGTAAAAGTGTCAGTCTCCAAAACTTTATGGATTCTAGCAGACAATGATTAGTATATAGGCATGGGTAGCTGTGGTATGGCCAATATGCAACAAGTACCCCTAAAGAAAAGATACTGTTGTGCAGAAAAATGTACAGAAAAGCACAACTATGGGTGCAATCCTAGGCATGTTTAGATAGAAACATCCCCGAAGAATGGCTGACTGGGGTACCCTGGGAATTGTAGGCTTTGTTGTGAAGCATATTGGCCCAAATGATTGTGCCCATGAGGAGGTTACAACAGCTGGGATTAATGAACTGAGAGAAAAGATGAGTGGGGGCAGACATAAAGATGTGGTGGAGAAAGTGGAGTGGGGACATTTTTGTCCATCTCATAGTATTAGAACCCATCAAATTGGTGGGACAGATAAAAGGAAATGTTTCATTACACAGCTCATATTTAAACTGTGGGATTCTTTACCATGACATGTAGTAATTGCCACTGTTTTGCATGGCTTTAAAAGAGTATTGGGCAAAATCATGGAGGATAAGGCTATCCTTACTAGCCTTGAGGGCTATTTGCTACTTCCAGCATTAGAACTGCTATGCCTCTCTATACCAGTTGCCAGGGAACAGGAGTTGTGGGAGAACTGTTGCATTAACGGCCTGCTTTTGAGTTTCTTGTGGGCAGGTAGATGGCCACTATATGAACGAAATGATAGGCTAGATGAGACTCAGCCTGATTCATCATGGCTGTTTTTATGTTCTTAGAGGAGGCTAGCTATCAACTTAAAACAGGATAGTTCACAAATTATGGCTTGCCTTGGTAGCTAACTATTCTTTCCTGCAGTTTGCTGTGAAGTTTGGTCTCACCATGTTATGGTGTTAGATGCATTGATCAAAAAAGAGAGCAGTTTTATCACACCCATTGAAGTGGCACCTTCATAATTTGGTCTAATTTACGTGTAACATACTTTAATCCTTTTTCTATTCATATTTTTTCATTTTCAATTCATATTTTCTCCCCATAACAGATAAGGCTTCTAATAAAAATCTAAAGTATCACACACAATTTCACTTTTTCAAACAGAGTGTAGGGAAAGTATGGATTTAGATTTTAATTCTCTGACCAAGAAAATCGTATTCGAAGGGCAAGGGAAGAATTACAAGTTTTTCCGGAATAAGAATCCCTGTTGCATCTTCAGGGCTGACTAATCGTACTGGCATAAGTTTTCATGGGCTAGAGTCTACTTGTCAGATGCTCTTTTTCAAATGTGGATTGCTGAAACTCTCATGCCCTACAGGGTTTGGGAAAGCTCCCTTAGATTTCTTTCCCATCAGAATTTGTGATGAAGTCAGATTTTTTTGGATTCTAAGATTCGTTATTTAGAAGCTTCTCTTTGGTGATGCTTGGTTTGTTTCTTCTCTTGGCAGCAAGAGATTATGATTCCAGTGTGCTAAAGCAAGGAGATACCATGTTGCTCTTAATGACAGATTTACATCTATTACCTTCCCATTATGGCAGTTTGCCACAGCAGGCTGTTTGGTTAGTGACTTACGCATGGTAAACCTGACAGATTATGGGGTTTATTACAAATCATTCCTTTCCCCTCACTCTTCCAGGTGGTATACCTGGGGACACTGCAGGAAGTACGAGTTGGCTTTACCTCTGTATCCTGGCACTGAGCCAATTTTGGTTCACCACAGCCTTTTTGAAGCCCCCCCCCCCCCCAGCAAGTCAATTTTTGGCTGGTATCTCTGATCCTTGTTTGGGCAGCTATGAACTGACCTTTTAAATTGCTTGAGTGGCACTTTGGAAGAGCTAACCATGAATGCTGAATATTATAAAAAATGTGGCCATGAATGTAATCAGATTTTTTAATCCATTTGTGCAAATGTGTTCATTAGCAGGGCACTGTCGAGGAAAGTGTCAGCTGCCAAGGGGAAGAAGGCAATCATCCTGGACATTGCCTAGTACTAGCTTGAAAATCAATCTTCACCTCTGGGTTTTATCTTTGCAGGTCTCAGAAGCTGAGCTGTTGAGAAATCCGAGGTGCATGGGATTTTTGGCTGAGAAGGGGCTTTTTTGTGGGATTTATGCACTCTTTTAAGCAAAATCCTCAACCTTTCCCATTTCTTGCCTGCACTACCAATAGTGGAAGCAATTTCTCACTTTTTTCCAGATTGTCTAGGGCGGGGGTGTCCAAACTTTTTGCAAGAAGGCCAGATTTGGTGAGGTGAAAATTTGTGGGGGCCAACCATTCAGCCTGACATTCTTTGAACCATTAACATTAAATGCAAATGAACTATTTTATGAAAGACTAAACAACTTAACTGCACTAATGTGAAGGGTGATACTGAGATCTCGACTGCATTATATAGGCCAGGTCTGGCTCAAAAACAGTGGTTTTGATGTGCAAGATGTCATGCAGATGAAAGTCACTTAGTCTCGTCCTCACGCGGTTCTTGTTAATGTTCATAACCGAGAATGTCTTCTCGCACAAGTATGTCGAACCAAACAAGCTCAGCATTTTCTTAGCAAATGTTCGAATCTCTTGGAACCTGTCTTTATCCAGCTGGCGGTAAAAGTTGACAAGAGGGAGCTGTTGGTGCCAACTGCGACATTCGGCGTCACACTGCAGCTCAATGAGCTCCAGCTGCAGGTGGTCTGGAGCGTCATCAGGGTTCACAGAGGAAGGAGATGAAAAAAGCGTGATCTCCTTTTCAATAGCTGCAAAATCCCGAAAGCACTGTTGAAACTCCTCGGCCATAGATGAGATGTCTGCTTCATACCTCCTTATTTGCACACTCATATTATTCTAACTGGAAAACTGGTCATTATTTCCTGCAGCGATGGGAAATGTGTGGTATTGGGCTGCGTTTGTGACAGGTGCCTTTGGAAAGGTGCACCTTGGTCCCAAAGGCTTTGATATGTGAATACAGTTGGCTTACCAACTGTATTACCCCTGCAGGCTCGTGTTCAGCACGTTCAGATGTTGTGTTATGCCAACTAAAAATCCAAAATCAGCCAGCCAAACAGGATCAGATAGCTCTGGCATCAGTTGTCCCTTTTTTGCCAAGAATTTTCCGATTTGCTCCCTAAGAGAGTAGAAGCGCTACAGTGCAGACCCCTGACTGAGCCATCTTACCTCGTTGTGATACACAACGTCTCCATATTCAGCCTGGATGTCGAGTAGAAACTGTTGAAACTGGCGGTGGCACAGGGCTTTGGAGCGAATATAATTAATAGCCTTCATCACCGGTTTCATAACATATTTCAGATGTTTGGCACAGAGAACTTGTTGGTAAATAATACAGTGGAGTTTTACAGCTTTGCCTCCTCCTTCGCTGACTTTGTTACAGACTAGGGTTGATAATCCACTTCGCTTGCCAGCCATGGCAGGTGCGCCATCCGTAATAATCCCAGTGACTTTATTCCATGGTAGTTTCATGTCATCTACAGCGGAACAAACAGAAACAAATAAATCTGTTCCTCTTGTTTGGTCCTTAAGGCTCTGGAGGTCAAGTAGCTCTTCACTCACGTTCATGTCATTGTCCACTCTTCTCAAAAAAATCAATAAGTGAGCGGTGTCAGATGCATCCGTGCTTTCGTTGCAGGCTAATGAAAAAAAGTCAAACTCCACTCCTTTTGGCTCTAACTGCCTCTTAATATCAGATGAAACGTCTTCAGTTCTCCGTACTACAGTGTTACGAGCCTGGTAAACATTGGCAAACTCTTGCTTCTTCTCAGGACAAATTTTCTCCACCATTTTCATCACGCAGTCTTTAATAAATTCACCCTCAGTAAAAGGTTTGCAGTGCTTGGCAATCAGCATTGCCACCTCGTAGTTTGCCTTTGTGGCATTTTCATTTGACTCATGGGCTCTTGTGAAAAAGCACTGCTGTGCTGTTAAAGCAGCTTCCATTTCCTTCAATTTTTCGCCGCGTTCGTTCCCAGTTAGCTTGTTGTAATTAGCATGTTTCGTCTGGTAGTGCCTCTTGATATTGAATTCCTTGAAAACAGCCACAGTCTCTTGGCAAATTAGGCAGACACAGTTGTTTCGTATTTCAGTGAAAAAATACTCCAATTTGCACTTGTCCTGGAAGCGGCAGCCCTCGCTGTCAACTTTCCTTTTTTTAGTTACAGTCGCCATTTTAGAAATGGGCACACAGGCCTTGTGTCACAAGGGTCACGCGGCGAGAGTGCTGACTCGGGTCTACTGCCATCTTCTGGTGAAATATAACCGCCAGCCTTGAAGGAGCAGGAGGCTGCAGGGGACAGCTGCAGGAACCGCTGTGCAGTGAAGGGAAAAACGCCGGCCAGCGGGGATGAGTGACAGGCTGAGCCGGCAGGGAGAAGAGGCTGCGGGCCGCTTGAAATTTGAAAACGGGCCTCAGTTGGTCCCTGGGCCGGACTTTGGACATGCCTGGTCTAGGGGCTTAGGAAAGTGTAAAAGTGAGTCCCCGCTTTTTCAAGAGAAAAGAGTTTGGCAACTACCAGGCAAGCAAGGTGCTACTTGGGGCACTTGGAAAGGGAAGCGCATGTCTGCCCAAATAAAGGATTTGGATTTTTTTTTAAGTGTCACAAATATTGTGGGGAGCTGAAACCTGCTGGTCCTTGCAACAGGAGCAGGAGAAGCTGAGGCCCCTAAATGCTCAGGCACTTTGGCTAGTTCTGGTCACAGCTAGCTTGGAAAGAATCCTCTTGCTGCTCTCACCAAGTGAGTTGCTGGCTGCGGGTCTTCACTTACGAGACGACTCAGATGTGTTCTGAGAAAACGCTGTGCTACCATGGGTAAAGCAAGCCTCATGGATTTGCAGTTTGCATGGCACAGCAACTAACCAATGATAGCTGTCTATGTTTAGCTGTTGTGCTGTGCAAACTAGGTCAGTGCCTAATTTTAAAAAGGCATTAATATGGCAAGAAAATGCAGACATGACTTAAATGAATATTTCCAACCTGGTGCTGTCCAGATGGCTTTTTCTAAAACTCTGCAGCCACCAGCCAGAATTTTTATTTGTTGAACTTTGGGTCAGATAGTAAGAAGTAGGGAATGGGGGTGAATATATAAGGGCACACCAATTTGTACAATGGGTTCTTTGAGTTGAGCTGATTGATGTTACTGGTTGTAACTGATGGTCTTATGGGGTATTGTGCTTCCTTATAATATGGTAATAGTTTTAAAAGATGTTGCAAATATTTTTGAGAAAGGCATCTAAGACAGATGCAAAAGATGCAAACATTTACAAGTCATGTTGGGGAAAAGATGGAAACATTTACAAGTCATGGGGCTTATACAGTGTCTCTCTGGCTGCTCTGACATTGGCAGACATTTCTGGAACAGTTTAAAATTTGTTTTTGTCTGTATATTTGTTTGTTTATTTTAAACTTTTATATATTGTCAAACTACTACTGTCTCAGGATGGTCTATATATATATATTGTATCTAGGTTTGTATTGTGCAGTCTGTAGCGATACAGCCATCTTGATCAAGAATTAATGTGCCTGCCATGGTTTTTGGTAGTGGTGGGAAAGGTTGGGACAAGTTACATTGGTGGTAGCAATTTAGGCAATTTTGCTGTTCACAGCAGTCTAACTCTAGGTCAGTGATGGTGAACCTTTTAGAAACTGAGTACCCCAACTGCAACCCAAAACCCACTTATTTATCGCAAAGTGCCAACACTGCAATAAAACCTGAAAACTGAGGTTTTAGTTTAGAAAAAACAACTCACTGCCAGTCCAAGCAAATATATATATATCCTTGGCAGCGCACTGACCGGCCATGTGAAAGCTCAGATGAGTTGTGGCTAATGAGTCGTGGCTTGTGACATCCTCACCTGGCACCACTACTCCTTTCCGAGCATGTGCATGGGCCCTATGTATGCTGTTACCCAGTGCTTTGCTGCTGGGGTGACTTGGCTCGTGTGCCGACAGACAGGACTCTGCGTGCCCTAGGTTCGCCACCATTGATCTAGGTCCTGTTCAGTCAGTCTATAATTATGGAACAAATTGTCTTGGTCAGCCTGGCAGATGACCTTGCACTGGGAAGCATTTGTGAGAAATTCATCCCTGCTAGTTCAGTAGAGGTCTCAGCAGACTTCAATATGACTGGCCATGCTATTCTGAATTGCTTTGGAATTCTTTGTCTAACCCCTGATCCTCTTTTTTTTTTCTTTTTTTGTGTGTGAAGAACTTTTTCAACAGGCTGATAATTTCAAATTACTCTGGTGATTTCTCTAATGTTTGACTTTAGATTATTTTCATGGTAGTTGTTTCCAAAGTCAGTTCTAAGCTTTTTGGGGGTGTTTGTTTAAATTTAAAATATAGAATATAAAACAAACCCTTTGCCTATTTATTTATTTAATTAGCTATTTAGTAGAATTGTTATCAAAGAATGATTAGTTTGTTTAATTTTTCAAATATTACATTTAAATAGATATGGGTAATGCCAATAACTCAGACCTGGAATTGTCTTGAGATATTGATGAAAATATGGCAAAATTTAATAAATAAATACATAAAACTTGTACTCCTAATTTGGAGGAAAAGAAGATAGCTTTAATAGTTTCGTATTTCATTCTGTAACATATTTACACAATAACTAAGCTTACCTCAAAAGATATAGTCCTCCCTTAATTCTCAGCCTTGCCAACTGACTCTATCCAGTCCTTTGATCCCTACCAATTTTAGTTCTGATATAAAAATGATTGAGAAATAGTTTTGTAGAGGAACTTTCTAATTGTATATTGTGTATTATTTTATACAACAGGTACAGAGGTTGGCTTGCCAGAAGGCTCTGTTATGTCCTGTTTGTGCAAGAACGGGATGTACATAAGGGTATGTTTGCAACAAATGTGACAGAAAATGCATTAAACAGTAACAGGTAAGATATTAAAATAATGTTGTATTTAAAACTTCCAGTCATGTTCAGTGACAACTTGTTATGTTAGGTCCTAGAACTGTTCTTTTTGTGAATTTTGAGGAGAGCCCAAGCTTGAAACCAACAAAGTCATATTTCTAAAATTTATGTCCATGTTGTAATCTAGTAAATGCCTCTTCCTCATCATGGAGGAACATGGAGGCAACCAAATGTAGGCATCTCCTCATCATTGTATCTGACTTCTGAGGTGACTAGCTATTGATTTCCTAATGTTGAAGGCCATTAAAATATTAAGAGTTTAAACTGATTTGTTGATTTTCTGTATGGATTTATTTCATATTGAAAATGAAAACATAAATCTTTAATTGAAAAATACTCATGAGTAAAGAACACACTAACCTACCATGCTCCATACTTTGTAGCCAAGTGACCTACTGTTGGGACACTTTGATATCTGAGCCATTGTTTTGATGTAAATGAATCTACAAAAGCTCATAAAACACTATGTTTTTCCAAAACTTTTTTATATCTAATATCCAGAGTGCAAGATGCTATTATAGAAGAGGCTTCAGAAATTTCTGCACTGGGTGGATCTGGTCAGCTGGACCCTAGAAACATCAACAAAGTCAAGAAGAAAGCTAGAAAGATTCTTCAGGAAATGGTAGCAAATGTTTCACCTTTTTTGATCAGGTAAAGAAACTAACTTTTGAGTAATAATGCATGGGAGTGCTAAACTACAGTTCAAATTCAAACACAGATAAATGTTGCTTGTTACTTCAGTTATCTACTCTCTTGTCTATGTTATAAGTAATGTAATGGTATTTGTCCTTGAAGAATATTTGTATTCTAATGTGGTAAGACTAGTAGATTTTTCAATGAAACAAAATAACATGTTGTCTATGAGCTTTATGTTATCAGCCCAACTTTATCTTCTGTTGTTCAACCCCAAACTGGATTAAAACCTCTTGCCATGGACTGTTACATTTCTCAAATGTTGGCTGTTTATGTTTTGGAGGCAGGAAATACCTGTATATTTGTAAGGTCATATTGTTTCCTTCTACTAAAAACAATAAGCTGCATATAATACATGAATGTTTTATTGTGGTTCAACTTTTATTTCCTTTTTAGGTTAACAGGATGGGTGTTGCTGAAATTATTTAACAGCTTTTTTTGGAATATCCAAATTCACAAAGGCCAATTGGAGATGGTGAAAGCAGCAACTGAGGTAATCACTGAGGCAGAGTGCTGTAGTTCGTTGTTGTTGTGTGTGTGTTTGTGTGTGGGCAAGAAAATGCTGAATAGGCTGCTCTTAGGATGGCACTCATTTTCTCATTCCCTTACAAGCAGAGATGTAGGCAGAAAATTCTTTTCCCTGGAGAAAAAATCTGGTTTAGCCAGTAGCTATGTGACAAAACTGTGTTTCCCTGGGAGCACCATTCAGTCATATGATTCCTCTACTTGTGGTTATAACTAGTGCAGTCCAGACACAGGCTTAAAACCTGAGCAAGAAATAGGCCTGCGAGTATTTTCTGTGGAACCTTCTAATGTTGACTGACATTGAAGCCCCTGGAGTTTGTCAGACTAAGGTATCCAGAATAAAGCTTTTCATAATCAGATTTGGAGGTAATCAAAGGTCTTGTAGTCCAGGGCTGCAGGTATTCACAAATGTGGGTTGTGCAGTGCCCATGACCTTTCTCCCTCCACATTTGCCAAGACTGCTTTTGGAGCAGTAATGGCAGTGCAGAATGTTAGCTGGAATGCTAAACTGAGCATTCCCCCAGAGATCATATGAGCTGTAATCACTGCTCACCAGTGGTGGTGCAGCAATGCTGGTTGGGGTAGCAGAAAGGAGAGGGAGTGGAACTTTCTTCTTCCAGCTTGTGCCTGCAAATGGTTGGCACAGTTGCTTTCATGCTACTACAGGTGATGCAAAAGCACTATTTCGGGCTGCTTCTAGGTGATTGGGAGAGAAAAAAACTAAAACTGCCTGATTGGCTTGGTGACCCTAGCACAGCTGTCTTCTGCACTATCCTATCAAAGCAGCAGTGTCAGAGAGGAAGTTGAGGTCTTTTCTATCCCCCCTCCCCTTTACTTTATGAAAGGCTCATGGTAGGGCAAAAGCAGAAAGGCACTGGAGCATCCTCTATTAGCAACCCTGATGGCTTCCTCCCTCCTAGCATCTTTGCACATGTGGTCTTTGGTGAATGGCCAGTCTGACTCTCTAGTGATGGTGGGGAAATGTCTACCTCCCCAGTCTAGTCCAAATCACATACTGGATCCACTTCTGTATCAGTCTGATAACATCAAACAGCTACATAGAACTTCTAACAAAGGGGAGTGTTTTCAGAAGAAAAATGTAACTGCTAAACTGTGTGGCATGCTTTAAATTTTCCAGGACTGCTACCATAATTTGGCAGAATACATTAAGAATATTAGCAAACTGGAGCTCAATCTCAAACTGAGAAGACTCAGTGCAGGCCTTTTGCCAGGGCAGCACATATTATGTGGATAGTAATTTATTAGCATCAATAGTGATGGCAATAAAGAATGGCAGGTTCTTTCTATATGCTGATCATAACACAGGTATGTCTAATGCCTTCTATAAGAATTTTTTAGGGATGGTTACAAATAGTCTGGCTTTGATCAAGGAACAGGTGCAATATTCTTTCTCTTCCAGTCTTCACTGAGAAAAGATAGCAAAAACTTCTAGAGGAGAAATATGAATACTAGACTAAATGGCACTTTTTAAAAATTTCCAGGATCCTTGCAACATTAAGAATTTTAGCTTAGGAAGAGTAAATACTTGCCAAATTCAGTACTTAATTATCAGTGTATGGTGATACCTTGAAATGAAATTTGTTTGTTATTGTGAAACATGTATGTGAATGTGCCCCTCCCCCTCAAAAAAATTGCTTGGTAATAGTTACTTGTTCTATGAGTTGTCTAATAATAATTGCAGGAAAGCACAGTTTTAAAAGCACTTTTTCAGCTATGCAATTTCCCACTATTGTTGCATATGGATTCTCTGAAAATAAAAGATGGTTTGCACATAGTCAAAACCATATTTGGATTCCCTTCCGTGTGTTACAGTGAAGTAAAACAGTGATGTTTAAGTCTCTGTTACTTGTTCTCTAAATATGCCTGTAAAACCTGTTGTCCTTTCTGTTCCCACACCCATAAGTGTTGTCAATTCAAACAGTAAAATTGAATCTGCTTTGGGTATATTAATTGTCAAGGACCTAGTGAAAATACATAGTAACTTTACAAAAACAAAATGAAACAAACCCTAGCATGTTTTGCCATGTGACTTATCTTTTCTTTTTTCTTTCTACAGCTGAATTTACCTCTTATCTTCCTACCTGTTCATAAATCGCACATTGACTACCTGCTTCTCACATTTATTCTCTTTTGCCATAACATTAAAGCGCCTTATATTGCAGCAGGAAATAACCTGCAAATTCCCATCTTCAGGTAAAACTATATATACTGTATATGGAAACTGCCACTGTATTAATCGTAACTATATTGATTACCTCCCTAGTTCTAGTTAAATTAATATCCATATGCATGTTTATCATGGGGTATCCTGATAACTGTGTTGCTTGCAATGATGTGGGGTGGAATATTTTCCATTTCCCTCCCTAGTGCTTTATGTTGCTTCAGAAAAATTTCTATTTAGTAACCATGAATGGGTGTCAATTAAAACTACAAGTGGTCAGTTATAAATGGTGCTTGGTAGATAGTTCTCAGGAACTTAGACTGAACTCTTTCCAAGGGAAGAAAAGACCTGTAGGGTCCCGATTGGGCTCCAAACAGGAGCTGGGCACAAATCTTAGCTGAGAAGACTTTAAATGCTGTAGTTATATATTGTGCACCTTTAGAGAAATGAAAAGTTTGTAAGACTGACACTGTTTTTTGTGCATTTAAAATGACTTAGTCAGCATGAGATTTGCGGTTACCCGCAGCATGAAAGACAATCCCCAGATATTTGAAGGATTTGACCTGCTCAATTAGATGGTTCTTAAGTTGCCAAACACGCATCTTAGGGCACTTGGCAAAAACCACGACTTTGGTTTTAGAGTAATTAATTCCTAAACCATCTTGCTGTTATAAAGTTGTAATTAATGTTCAGATGTTTATATTTAACAAATGTGTGTGAGAATACACACAAATACATAAAGTACATATACGTATCAAAGTCAAATGGAGCTAATAAGTAGTCCTCTTGAAAGTGAAGGCACCTCAGCAGAGTTCAGCTCTTTTCTTCTGAGTTTGTTGGAACAATTAATTAGTTGTCAGCATATCGGACAAAGTTCTTTGGGTAGCTGAAATTGATTAATTAATTAGTTTGTCAGAAGGAATTTAACCTTAGCTTTTTCATATAGTGGAAATGATAACTGAGCTGCACTGTAATACTGGAGTTGTCTTATATTTCTTGTGGACGCACTTTTTTTTGGTACTGTTACATTCTTACCGTTCAAATTAAACTGTCTTATAAATAAATGTTTAACTACAGCACCTTGATTCGCAAGCTTGGAGGATTTTTTATACGGAGAAAGTTAGATGAAAACTCTGATGGCCGTAAAGATATTTTGTACAGAACTTTACTGTATGTGGTATGTACCTCTCTTTTAACTCAAAGCCTATCTCTGAATTTAAGTGTGTTCGTTTGTGTGCGCTTGTGTGTGTGTATTGGAGGGGGGTTGCAGCAAAAAGTAAAGATTAAATTACAGAAACAATACAAAAGAGGGTATCTTGGTTCTTTTTTTAAAAAATGCTGAATAAATAAAATAGAGTTGCTCCTGAAGAATTAAGCTTGTGAGCATTTTCCAGAAATTGTGATGAACGTGTCAGCATTTTTGTGCTGTCAAAGGGTGCTGGTATACTTGAGAACTATAAAAAAAACCAACAAGCAATCTTTGCTGATTAAAAGGGGTGGTAGATTATCCCCTCTGTGTTGAGATTTTCTCCCCTCCCTCCCACCATCACCCCCTGTCTGAACCCACTTCTTCTCAGTGTTCTGCATCTTTTTCACCCGTTCCAAGATTCTAGGTACACAAGAAGATGGAAAAGTGTAAGGTTTCCCTTCTGACAGGACCATAGAGCTTTGACAACTAGCAAATCACTTTCGGGGAAGCAGTCCAGGTTCACATGATGCAGCAGCCCACTGTGGCTTGTAACCCATGAAAGGCTGTTGTGTCATGAGAATCCAGACACTGGCTGAAAATCCAGGGAAAAGAAATAATTCCCTAGGTTAATTTTAACATGTGTACACGTGTACACAAGGGGCTTGTGTAATATTCAACAAAGATAAGGTCCCCCCATATCTTCCAAATACCTTATGTAGTTTGGTAATAGTGAATGCAGATTAGTGTGTCATCACTGTTATCTTTATCCTAGTCCCTCTAGTGTGGTGGTGTTTTGCTCCCTTAAAAAAAGGCTTTCCCCATCTTGCCTTGGTAGTGATTTCTGCTGTCTTGAGAGATTACCTAGGTATACCTAAGCATATTAGTACATCTGTTGCAAATGTTGATTGTACATCTGTCAAAATATTGATTGTATTTTATCCATGTGTGTAAGTATTTATTTAATTTCTGTACTGCCAGATAGCTGAAGCTTTCCGGGTAGCTTACAACAAATTGCAATTAAATTGTGGAATCTTGAAGATTTCAGTAAAAGGCAAAATGTAGCAGGGAAGGGAAGGAATAAGCATGGCTTGCGCTTATTCCCTAAATGCATGTAGCATCATAGAAATGGGGATTAAGGTTTGCTGAACAAGAGATGTGTGTAATGAAGTTAAAAATGCTTCTTTCCATGCTATATGGGCAAATTTAGTGGGTGGGTAGGGTGGCTAAAGGACACATTTTTGCTTTCCAACTCTCTAGGACTCCCCCCGTCCCCCATGCACATCTTCCTCACTATAGAGCAAAAAGCACTTGGGTTGAATCCAGCTACCAGCTTGGATTCTGGGACTATCAGCACTATATGATGCAGCAGAAAATGTTTCAGGACTGGAAAGAAAAGAAAAAAGTCCCACTTTTTTCTTCCTCATGAATGCTGAACAGCACATCAGAGCTCCTGCTGGAGCCCCGAGTATAAGCACTCCTGTTAAGAACTAGGAATATACTGCAGATTTTTGTAAAAGGTACCCATTTTAAAAAATTATTGATAGAAATTCTTTGCATTGCTTAACATCTGATTTTATTGTCCTCTGTTCTTTCAGCATGTTCAAGAGTTGCTTCGGCAATGTCAGTTCTTAGAGATATTTTTGGAGGGCACACGATCCAGGAGTGGAAAGATATCTTCTGGGAGAGCTGGTCTCTTATCAGTGGTGGTGGATGCTTTATGTAAAAATGCTACTTCTGATATACTAATTATACCAGTGGGAATATCTTACGATAGAATCATTGAAGGTCACTACAGTAGTGAACAACTGGTAAGAATGTTTGGATTATTTTCTGCAGAGCACTGCTAATAGCAGTTTTGGTAATAAGCTGTACTTTGGAAACACAAATTGTTTGATTACATGAATTCCATATTTAACAACATAAACAATGTCAAAATGACATCCAAATAATTGGGTAGAAACTATTTGAACTATTTAAAACCTTCCTAGCTTAGATAAAGCAGTAACAGAGAAACAAACTATATGACTTGTATGGTGGATGAATGCTATTTCTAAATAATGTGCTTACATGGTTATATTCAGCAATATGTAAAACAAGAAGTTTTAAAATATGACTTTGGCTTTTCAATGTGTTTTTAGGGAAATCCCAAGAAAAATGAAAGCCTTTGGGGTGTGGCTAGGGGAGTCTTCCGAATGCTGCGGAAGAATTATGGCTGTGTTCGAGTAGATTTTGCACAACCATTTTCTTTGAAAGTAAGTTCATATTATATAGCCATATTTTTAAATTGGACTTTTCTTACTATCCTGCATCTTTTGCAACCTTTCCTGAAATTGTAGGTGGGTGGGAAGATGGATATGTACAGATTTGGGATGGGGAAGCACAGTTTTGACAGAACTCAGGCTTACTTGTTTAAAATTAAAATAATAAAATTTAAAAATTACATTAAAATAGGGTTTTGGAAAAAGATAATGGGGAGTCAAAAGCAACAAAAAACCTGATTAGCCTGCTGAAAATCCTCATTTTGAAAGGAAACTTGAGTTTTAATAGTTCGTGTCAAAACTGACAGCCCCCATATATAGGATGGTTATACTTTTCCGCCTTTCCAAGCAACCCAGTGTCTCAAGAAATAGTAGAAAAAGGACAGGACATTGAGGTCAGTCCAGTTAAACAAAGTCCAGAGCCTTTTTCCATGCAGGGAAAGATCTACTGGCTATGCTCTTTAGTGAGCCAAAGTTCCCTTGAGAGCTCACCTTTTGAAGTTGTCAGGAGAGAATAAAGTGAAAATTGATTTGCAGTTTTACTGGGTCAATTTCAGTGCTAGGTGCCTGCTGGACTTTGATGGCAGACACATCTTAGATATTGTCCAGCTCAGGCATTCCATTTTGGATTCCTCAAGTACCCTTGTGTAAGACTGACAGAAACATTTTTCTGAAAATATTAATTATAATATTTGCACAAATTCTTGTGTTTAAGCAATTTTAAAAAGTGCCTCTTGTTGCTTTGAAGGGTCTGTCACTGGCTGTCACTTCAAAGATCATGAAAAGCAATGTCAAAAAATTAAAAGGGAAAAATGCAGGGGATACTGAAAAGAGGCTCATGATGGTAGCAGGGAGGGATAATGAGACAGCTTTAGCCATCAGATCCTGTAGGATACCAGGTGGAAGATTCAAGAAAAGTTGGAAGGACTAGCCCTGATGAACCTGATCATCTGTTGATCATTGATTATTCTCCAAAGAACCAACACATTGTTGGGTGTTCTCAGGATGGCTTAGTTTAGTGTGCAAACCTGATTACTGGGAGTTGGTGAGGTAATATGCAAAAAAGAGAATTGTCTTGGCAGGTATGGGGTACAATCTTCATGCATTTGAGTCCATTTTTTTTCCTTTCAGAGTCCATTTCTGTTGCTTTCTATATTAATGCCTCATTCCAAATCTCCCAGTAACCACATTCAGCAAAGGTTACCAAATCAACCATGACGTCTTTGCCAAACTGTACTGGTACACTAAGCACATGGGAACAGAAAAGCAGGACAAGAAGATCATACTCTCCTAGGGATTATTTTCTGTACCAGGACATCCCGTGCTGACTGCAGTTGTGATTCAGAGGCAGTCAAACTTACCCAGTAGTTTCTTATTGTGAAGTTACAGTTCAGTCTGCAATATATGCCCTATTCAGGGTATGCCTTACCATCTGCTTTGTTATGTCTTGGCTACTTGTGGAAGTTTACCTTATCGTTTATTTTCTTGTGCTTCTCCTGTTGGTTTCCTTGCATTGGTCTTGGACCACAAAGTTGCCAAAAAAGGAAGAGTTTAATTGCTAAACAGAATGAAGTTATATCTCAACTGGGGATAGTGGGGGTGGAAGGGAAATAACTGGTTAACTCCTGCTGTTGAAAGTTTGCAAGTCCTGCCTTCTGGCATAGGAATTAATCCACGAATTTCTATCACTAGTAAAAATTTGCAGTAAGTCCAGTTTTTCTTCTCTTTTGTCTTGCAATCATAAGTAGTAATTGGTAGTCAAGAAAATGCCTACTTTTTCCAGGGGGAAAAAGCTTGCATGGGTTTTAACATTTGAGTTCATTGCATTGGATGCTTTGATAGCATTCCTTTTTCTACCAGTCTCTCAGATCTACATTTAATTTCTGGAAGCTATTAATGTCAGTAAAGTGAATGAAGAATGCAGAGCTACATCTTTGATTTGACATTTTAAAATATATATTATGACTGAAGGATTACTGAAGTTGTTAAGGTGTACTAATTCAACTTTTAAACAGAGAAATTGAGAAAAGACTGCTAATATTATAAATAGTGTCCTTCTTTCCCCCATCCAACATGTATTACTCCAGCTGGTGTAAATGGAGATGATGGGTATTGTAAACTGATGCATCTGGTTGACCAGGTTGGAGAAGACCGATACACAATGTCAGTGGGTGGTTCACAAGAGAGAAATATTCATACGAAATTTCAGAGGAGCCGTTGGTTTTACTTCCTCTGCTTGAAACTGAGAAGTAGTACTGTTCAGAAGTAAATGGTGTATTGAATTTCCAGGTGGCTGATAATAGTTAAGCTCATTTCCACATAGCCTTCATGTTCTGAAAGGAAAGTAGTGGGGCAGTCTTACCGTCTTCTACCATTGCTGCCAGGGAAATGTGGGAGAGCCTAAAGATGAGTTACCAGTCAAGAAAAATATTTCAGTTTCATTTTAGCTATGCTCCTGTATGCATAATTTAACAAGTCAGTAAAACTTGATCTCTTTTCTTGATTTCTGGTCTTTGAAAATTGGAAATAGGAGATATTACAATTAAGGCAGTATAAGCTTATCATTCACACCAGAAAAGCTTTATATAAGTGTTTTTTCCACAAGTCTGTGTATGATAAGTCAGTCCATTGAAACAGAAAACTCCTATATCTGATAAAAGATTAATTACCTAGTCAATATCCTTTTACAATATTAAGGTTACCATAAAGTACACTGAGATAGTCTTACACTGCATCAATATGCCCTAGAAAGTCTTCTTTATCAGCATTGTAAAATATGTGTATAAAAGTGGCCTTATATACACTTCCAGCATCTCTCATTTCTTCAAATTATACATCTGCTTCACTCTGCCTAATCAAATTTGATACAGAATTTTCTTTTATGTAGGTATTTGTCAAGTTCTGCAAATTATTGCATAAATCTGTCCACTTACCCAGGAACTCTCCCTCACCCTTTTTTGTAATTTACTTTTTTTTAGGGTAACCTATAAGAAACATTTATACTTTCCCTCCTCTTGAATTTCTTTCATAGTTAGCTCAGGAACTTAAGACTGTGTCTCTAAGTCACTTACAAAAGAAGTTCAGGTTGGCACAGCAGTCAGCTGTCTGGTCATTTGACTGTTATTTGATTGCAGTCAACTTCTCTGTGAAGGTATCTCCAGGATATCATGGAGAAGGTATCAGCTTACTATTTAATTTAATTATAGTAATCAGTTGTTAGCAAAGATAAGAGTGTGAGTTCTGAAAGCAACTTATGTTGCTCTGTACATTGGCAACAATTATGCCAGTTATTATGTTGTTTTGTACATTGGCACAAAGACAATGTACAGTGTCTTTGTACATTGGTATTAGCCTAAATGTACTTCAAGAGTTAACAGTGCTGTATTTTCTAGTTCTCAAAATTCATTTGTTATGAGGGTTTTCTCAAGTTGATCTTTTACTAATGAGTTGGTTCATTAGTAAAATGAGTGTTGAATACTACATTTTGTTGCAAGTAATATATGAATAATTTGTATATATTTACAGGAGTATTTAGATGGCCAGAGCCAGAAACCTGTTCATGCCCCTCATTCTTTGGAGCAAACTCTCTTACCAGCTGTATTACCTTCAAGGTAAGACTTTATAGGGAAGTTTCTTGGAGTAATCAACCACTGATTCCACTGAATTGTGTGATGCAGAATTTGAGCAAATATTGCAGCTTAAGCTGCATGGATATATCAGTGTCACAGAAGTTACTATGTTCTCTCTAAATCTTACAGCACTTGTGAACGTATTAAGTCTAACATTCTTTTGGAATACCTAATAAGAACATTCTATAGTTTGAGCAGAATGCCTTTAAAATGATCCTTTTTAATATGCTGTGGGAAAGGGCCATTACAGAACTACTAAGCACCAGTATTATGCTTAACGCATGCAGAACTGGTGAATGCTCATGTTTCTGGCTATCTTTTCAATAGGGGATTATTAAGCTTTGGATATTTTTAAGTGGTGCAGTTAACCAAGATTGAGTTGTTCCACTGAAATCTTACACTGAGTAACTGATTAAATCATTAGTCTTCAGTGATCCAGAGTGCGTTAGAGTTTTGCTTGTTATAAGCAAAATTGTTGGACTGAAGGTTTACCTATTCAGTTGTGTAATATAGTATTTGTTGCATATTAACACAAAGATTTATGAGAAACTGAAAACAGAAAACACTATAGACAAGTTGCAAAAAGGTGAAGGGTTGAATCAGTATATGTGGAGCTTCTCAATGGAGCTTTGATGCATACGATGGGCTTGGATTGCATGGGCATGTCTGACTCAAAATCGAGTTCTGCCCTTCAAGTAGAAACACGTTGTTGTTGTATTGTGACACAATCTAAGATCTGGTGTGGGAGCACAGAAAATCCTTTGGCTGATATGAAATGGTTGTATTATGCAAGCAGTTGTAAGGAGATTCCGCCAACTCGTTTGTAGTATTGTTAGTGAATTGTTGTTTATGTTGTGTTTTTGAATAGGAGTGACAATGCTAGAGATGTCTTATTTATTCATTTGCATAGGAGCTCAGCACAGTTTCCGGGCTGTCTTACTTCCAGGCATCTTACAGATGGTAGCCTTCAGCATTGACATTTCACTCGGGAGTGTTGCCTACCAACCCTGAAAGGAGTTGTCATTAGATCTTTTACTGTTGCTATGGTGGGATGCAAGTTACAGCAGAATGTTCAGCGGTGGTTTAGCTAAGTCATCTTTAACGTTTACTTTCTTTAGGCCTAATTATGCAGTAGATGGTACAGAGGCTGCCCTACCTGATCCCATAGAATTATCCTGTGAGCCATTGAGAAGACAGTTAATAGCTAATTTGGCAGAGCACATCATGTTCAGTAAGTAATGACTAAAGTATAAAAGCGATTCAATAGCTTCTTAGCTGCACTGAGTACAGGATATAACTCTTTCCTTATCCTCCTCCTTTTTTCTTATAAAAACTCTTCATTTTATCTTTGTTGTGTTTTGTGTAATGCCATTCTGTGTGAGCCTCTCAGTAAGACTTTCATTTTGTTTTGCTATATTGTATAGTACTAAGTCAAATGGTGGCCTGCCTTTGCTATTACCATTTAGTTTCCTCTGTATGGCATCTGTGGTCATTAATGTTTTAATGTAGATAGCAAGCCATATCTAGTTGTGAGAATACTATATCTGAATGATATAGTATGGCAGCCAATGAATAGAGCCATCTTATCTACTTGAAATAGCTTTGTAAGCTATTGACACACAAAAATAGCTGCTGTACTGTATTTTTGGAACCTGTTAATGGAATATACTGAATACAAAAGACTAAATGTTCAGATTGAAATGCCACTAAAACTTTATCAATTCTAAAGTGATCCATTCCAAATTTTGTTCAAGTAAACCATAAAGGATCTTTTTAGCTGACCATTATTTCAATTTATTCCGTGCTTATTTATTTAAAGTATTTTTATTCTGCTTTTTGCCCCAGAGTAGCTTACAGTTTTTTCCCCAAAAGGAGGCAACCCTAATCTAAGCTTTACAGTCTAAAAATCTTGACATAAAAAGAAAAAAGTTATGGGGAAAGAGGAGTAAAAACTTTAGGCATCAATTCTTAAAATTACAGTTTTTATACTGATCAATGGGGATGGGATGGCTCCCATTGGTAACAACTGAGTGAGAGCCAGAGGTAGATAGTGTTTCCATGAAGCCAGTGGAATAGCTCGACTTCTCTTCTCTCTTGTGGAAGACATTAGTATCGAGTGTAAGAGTAATTGCCGTAATATAGAACCAAATCCAAGATGGCATTCAAATAAAAATCCTGATATTTCAGCTACTGGTCAGAATTTGTAATTGCTGGTCAAAACATTGCTAGGGTGCTATCTACTAGTGAAAAGGTTTGCTTTATTTGTTCAGAAACTATATAGCTATTACTAGTGCAGTTGTATGTAGAAACTTTAGAAATGTTAAGACACAGTTGGAAACTGTTAATATGTTTCTTTCTGACACTGCTTTAATCTCGTGCTGTACTGTGGAGCTCTTTCAGTATAAAAATAATAAAAGATCACTATTCCTAGTTGCCTTCTAAAAAATTCAGTTGCATGACAAAGTGTTGGCATAGCTTTACTTTATTTTGTTTGCTTTTAGCTGCTAACAAGTCATGTGCTGTGATGTCAACACACATTGTTGCCTGTTTGCTGCTCTACCGTCACAGGCAGGTAAGGGTGCTGTATACCTGCATATTCTCTCTCTCACACATTCTCTCTCACATTCTCTCTCTCTCTCTCTCTCTCTCTCTCTCTCTCTCTCTCTCTCTCTCTCTCTCTCATACACACACACACTCCTCAGAGCTTGCAGAATGCCATGATGCTTAAATTGTATTTTGTGCTTGTGTGAGCCTAACTGCTTACTTGTATTAAAATTGTCTTTTTGGGTTAGAGATGGTGAATCATTTACGTGGAAATCACTTGCAAACTGCATAGCTAGTTAGGTTGTTGATCCCATTCTGTGTAATGGTTTGACCAAACTAAGGAACTTCTTCAGAGTCATCTGGTGAAGATAATGCTTGTTTTAGTAGTCACTGTATATCACAAGGACTATGAAAGCATATCCTACATAAAAAGAATGGAGACAATATTAGTTGACCTAATATATGTTTGTGTGTGGAGCTGTTCAGAGCTGCATACTATGTTTAACTTCTGTGTTACACTGGAATCATCAAATCATAAAATAGTGTAGTTGGAAAGAGCCAGTAAGGCCATTGAACCTCCTGCTCCAGGAGAAAGCATCCCTAATGGCATCCTGAATGCCTCCAGTGTGAGAGAGCCCATGGCCTGCCTAGGCAATTAGTTCCATTTTCATATTGCACAGGAAGTTTTTCCTGACATTCAGGTGGAATCTGGCTTCCAATAACTTCAGCCCATTATTCTGGGTCCTGAATTCCGGGAAGATGAAGGATAGACCCTGGCCCTCCTCTGAATCTCCTTTTAAATACATGAATCCCTATCTCCTTTCAAATACATGAATACCTGTATGTATCCCTTCAGTCTTCTCAAGGATGAACATGTCCAGTTCTCTTAGTCTTTCCTCATATGGTTTTGTTTCCAGTCTCATGTTTTTGGGTCTTCTCTGAAACATTTCCCATTTTTCTGCATCTTTCTTCAACTGTGGTGCTCAGAATTGGATGCAGTACTCAAGAGGAGGCCTAACAAGTGCTGAATAGAAGGGAACAAGTACTTCATGTAATTTAGAAGTGATACTTATATCAGTACAACCCAATAGCCTTTGGGCTATTTGCCTTTTTAGCAGCCACATCCATATGTGACTAGTACTGCATTATGATCTACAGCAATTCCAATAAATTTCTCTCTTGTAGTATTGTTGAACCACGTATCCCATGTATTGTAGCTATGTATTTGGTTTCTTTTTCCTAGGTGCAGAGCTCAGCATTTGTCTCTAATAAATGTCATTCTTTTGATTTCTGCCCAGTGCTCCAGTATATCAGTATATCGCTTGAATTTTGTTTCTGTCTTCCAGGAAATTAGCTACCCACCCAATGTTCAAATTAGACATCTCATCAAATTTCAGATTAGCATTCCTCTTCATCTAAGTCATTAATAAAAATGTTGAAGAGCAATGGGCCCACGATTGAACCTTCTGCCAACCCTCTTGTTACTTCTCCCCAATTTCTAAAGATGCCATTGGTAAACATTCTTGGAGTCTGATACTGTAGCCAACTGTGGAAAATTCTGATATTTGCTCCATCTACCCACTTTTAGTGAAGGCATGTCCACAGTATTTCCACAGACCGCAAGGGAGGTTACCTGATTGAAAAATGAGATGAGATTAGTCTGGCAGGATTGGTTCCTGAGAAATCCATGTTGGCTTCTAGCAATCACTGCATTGTTTTCAAGGAGTTTGCAGATTGACTGCTTTATAATCTGCTCCAGAATTTTCTGAGAGATTGATGTTTGACTGATTGGTCTGTAGTTCCCAGGTTCCTTCTTTTTTCCCTTTTTTGAAGCTACAGACAACATTAGTACTCCTCCAGTTATCTGGTACTTTACTTGTCCTCCAGGGTTTCTCAAAGATAATAGATAGTAGTTCTGAGAGTTCTTCTGCCAGTTCCTTTACTACTTGAGGATATAGTTCATTGAGCTCTCGAGATTTGAATTCATTCAAAGTAATGAAGTGTTCCTTGACCATTTTCCTGTGAATCTCAAGCTGCAATCCCTTTGGCTTGTACTTCACCAAGAAAGTCATAGAGGACCCTCTTTTGGGAAAAGACTGAACCACTTTTGTCTTTTCATTGTCCTGTGATACAATTTTGCTGTCCTCATTAAGTAGCTTATCCACCATTTTGTTCCTCTGCCTTTTATTATGCACATACCAGAAGAAGCTTCTTTGCTCACTTCAGTTTATTCTCAGCTTTAACCTGCGTGACACTATCCAAGCCATTCCATGCTACCTGCCTATACTCTTCCTTTGTAGACTGGCCTTCCATCTATTTCCTGTACATGTACTTTACTTCCTTTGCTTCCTTAAAAAATTGGCAATTTGCTTTTCAAAAACATTATCCATGTCTTCTGCTTGACTCAATGGCTGGTAGTAGCAACCACTGTGTTCTATTTGCTCCCATTTATTTTAATATGGATTGTCTCGATGGGGCCACTAAGCTTATGCTCCTCTAGCTCTCTGCAGAGATTTATATCTTTAACATATAGCACAACTCCTCCTCCCTTTCTGTTCCTTCTGTTCCTCTTGAACAAGTTATATGTTTCAATTGCTGAAGTCCAGTTATGGGACTTATCCCGCCAAGTTTCATTTACAGCTGTGTTTGCTCTTCTGTATTAAGCTCTTCTGTATTAAGAGTTCATACACTAGCTTCAGTATATACCTATCAAAGACTCTGTACTTTATAGTCTAGCTTTCTTCCTACATTTTTTGGAAGACTATTATTCGGTGCTATTGGAATTTTCTCTGTTGTGGTGAATAAGCCTTTGTCAGTTGTTACTCTTCAAGTTACTTTTCTTATAGAACCCTGATTAATTTCCTCTTGCTGTGGTCAAACACATTCTCACCAGTCCTTGTCTGGTGCAACCCATCCCTTGCCAGTAGTTCATGTTCTAGGAACAATAGCCTGTGCTCCTAGAATCTATTATCTTCCACTGGCACCAACTCTGTAGCCAGGCATTCATCCAGAGTATTTTTCTTTCCCTTTCTAGTCATTTTCCAAGTACTGGAAGAATGAATGAGAGAACTATCTAGGCCTCAAAGTTTTTTAATTTCCTTCTCAAAACTTCAAAGTCTGACATGATTTCTTCAGAATTCTGCTTGGTGGTATTCTTTGTTCCTGTGTAGATGAGAATGAAGGGATATATATCAGTGGGCTTTATGAGTACTGACAACCTTTTGGTCACATCTCTTAAGCATGTGAATCCATATCTGGTCTCTGTGGCATACATAAATTCTCATTCCATTTCACAACTACTACTCATCTTGTTGCTGTAGGCCTTGGTTTTATTGCTTCTGCTTAACTGACTTTCTTGCTTGCTGTTGCACAGGGTGCCCTGTCTTTCCTCCTCTGCAGGTTGTATTCCTGTCTCAGTACCTGAGAGAGATTCTATAGTTCCACTGCTTCAACATGTGCAGAGTGTCTTCTACTCCTTTGGCTGCTAATTGTCAGTCTTTCCCAGAAAGTTTTCTCTATTTCATTTCTCTTGTCTCAGGATTCTCCGCTTCTGCCTTAAATGGCTGTTGTTCTTCTAGCTCGCTGTTATGTGTCTAAGAAGGCTTCATCTTTTCTTAGATCTTCAGAATGGATGCTCCAGTATTCTTGCCTTTTCCAACGCAGGAACCGGCTTGCAATTGTTGCACGTGTAGGCTGTATTTATTTCAGGCAAAAAGGCAAACATTGTACACACCTTGCAGGCCCCCAGTCCTTAGTCTTTATTCCCTTTTTGATTCTACCTTAATAATTGTAATAGAATAGCCTGTACTTTTTCTTGCTTCCCCTTAAGGTTAATAACAACATCCTAGTAGTATATAAGTGTGTGTTATAATAGCAACAACAACAACAACAATTAGGAACCTCCCCTGCTGAATTCTGCTGCCAAAATCCTGTTAGTTTTCACTTCTAGCTCTCAAGATGTAGCTGGAAGGTTCAGTTGTAACTGTCAGGAGGACATGTGGAGTACCTGACCACTTAGAACAGATATTCTCTGAGTTTACTGCAGTCTCCTTACATTGTTGCCTTTGTCTGCTGTTCCAGTGTCACTCTGCTACCAAACTCCTGCTAGAGCTGCCTGTTCACTTGCTGTCTGGGAGCTTGTTGACTTGCTTTGTGTAGCCTGTAGACCAGGTGGGGAGGCAGCTTCTGTTCTGTTCAGCTGAGAAGCAGGAAACTGAAAGTACCACCTCATCTTCAGAGCTGCTAAGAGTAATCAGCCGCTCCTCTCAGGCAGTCCCTTAGATTACTCCAGGTCATTTGCCTCTTTGTCTTTGTTGCCTCTTTTACTATATTTTTCTGCCAAAATCTTGTTAGCGTTCCCTGTTCAGTCATTCTCTGGGAGCCAGCTAGCTTGTATAGCCCTTGGACCAGGTGGGGTAGCAGCTTCTCTGGTCAGTGAGTACACAGGAAGTAGAATGACTGGTTCCCAATATGGGAAAAAAAGGAGTACTGTTGGCCCTCATTAGACTTAACTTCATTTCAGTTAAACGGATTGAAAATATAGCATATATTTCCAAGTCCCTTTCATACAAACAAGTTCCATTCCGAGAACACATTCATAAGTCCAATTTGTTTGTAAGTCCAACAAAGGTAGCCTAGGTACCCAACTAACACAGTCTGCTATATAATACTGTCCTGTAATAACAGTTATAACAACACTGAAGGACTTGGTTGATGTCACTGGAGGACTTCCTGAAGTTATACTTCTGGGTACATGGCAGTGTGAAAGTGCACCCATGTTGCTAATCTGATGGGTTCTTCCTCATATGGCTTTACTGTTAGGGTGATGCAACCTGTGTAATGCTTTGCTGGACTCAACACTCTCAATTTAGTACAGTAAAGTACACAAAAGCACATTCGCATCTTTGAAAGTTTCCTACTTGAAGGTTCGTATGCAGGGTCTTGTGGAATGAGTACAATTGCTATGGCATTAAACTTCTAGGATGTTAATCTAAGCTGCTTGGACTGCTGTGTTGCATGGTACAATACTTGCTTTAATCTGCTCTTCCTACTTTTTCCTTAAAGAAACTGTAAGGGATAATGCCATGCATGTTCATGGCCAAATAACTGAGTGTTCAGTGAATGGAATGTGAGAGGCAGAGCTGAGAAAACTGCATTTTTTCTTTTCCAATTAAGCAGAAGGTCAGCTGGTCAGCATTTCTGAGCAGTGCATTGACGATGGTATTGTAAGGCTCAAATACTTAGAATGCAGCAAAGAAATGCTGTTCCTATGGAGGCCATTATTAAAAGAGCTGTTCATAGTCTTGGTGGAAAAGAATGTGTTTCTTAAGCATCTCAGGCATTCTTTCTTAAGCATCTCAGAAAGGGGATTCAGCAGTGTAACTTGAGCTTTCTGGGATGCTACCTTGAGATTCTTATACTGCAGCGTTTCTGGAAATACTCCCAGGAATCTTAGTCCAGATTTCTTAAGCCATAGTGGTTCTGAGGCGATATATATATAATTTAGAGCTGTGTGAACATTTCGTACACACATAATTTTTGATGGACACTGTTAATATATTAGACTAGAACAGTACAACATAAATTTTATGGATAGTAGCGTGGGTAACAAATTTTACAGATTATCATCTGTTTTCATAAGTACTCCTGCTACTTACACAGAAGTACCTTACTGAAGTACTTGGAATTCAGATATGTAGATTTTGAAAATAATGATTTAGATAAAAGGATTTTCCTGAGTTTCAAAAGTGGTTTTGTTCTAAGAAGGTACTGTCTCAAATCTCATGACTGGTTTTCTTCAGGGAATTGATCTATCCAAGCTGGTGGAAGACTTTTTCTCCATGAAAGAGGAGGTCCTGGCTCGGGATTATGATTTGGGATTTTCGGGGAATTCAGAAGATGTTGTCATGCATGCTATCCATTTGCTGGGGAACTGTATCACCATCACAAATACCAGCCGAAATAATGAGTTCTTCATCGCTCCAATCACATCTATTCCTGCTGTCTTTGAACTCAACTTTTACAGCAATGGGCTACTACATGTTTTCTTTAAAGAGGCTATCATTGGTATGTTTGAAAGTGAATCATAATGAATAATGCATTTTTATTTGACCTCATTGGGCTATTCTGGAATTCCATCTATCTTTGAGATGGTGGCAACAAGAATTATTAGTCCAAACTTCATTTTAAGGGCTTCTGAGCACTACATAACTTAGTATTGAAGAACACAGTTTTCCTAGGCTTCCATATCGTGTACATTCTAATTCCTAAATGCACTGGGGTGTAATTTTGCTCCTGTCACTTAAGAGATATACCATTTACTTTGCAAAAATGGTTAGGTTTGTCACATACTATCATGTGTTGATTCTTGAAACTAAATTCCGATAAAAAAGAAACTTGTTTGAAGCTAACAGTTCTTGTGTTCTTTTTGTTACAGCTTGTAGCCTCTATGCCATGCAAAATAAAAGGCAGAGGAATGGTACCAATGGAATTCCATCCCACATGATTAGTCAGGAACAACTTGTTCGCAAAGCTGCCAGCCTATCTTACTTGCTTTCTAATGAAGGCATTATTTCATTGGTATGTTTTATGTGTGAAAGAGATGCTTTAATATTACCACCATGCATCATTTATGTTATATTGTATTGTTCCATATTAAAGTGAATGCATTTGGAATACCAAGGCACTTTAAAACTTAAGAAATGGGGTCTGTAAAGAGAAATATGATTATAACTGGCTGTGAGGAAAGGCATGTGTGTTACACAGAACAATGGGAAGCAAGTAGAATTATACAAAACTTGGAAGCCTAGATTTGATAATTTAATGTATGACAGAGTATATATGCAAAAGATTAAAACTGAAGGTGTAAAGGAGGTACAGTTATGAAGGGCAGTATGAAACACAGATGACACTGATTGACGTAACGGAGAACAATCATGGCCTTGGTTGCAGATGATGGTTTGGTGCTATTTTGTGGGGCGGGGTATTGTGATAGGAAATGAGCACTGTCAAAGTAGCAGATGGTGTTGAAGTGAGGATGCACATGTTGATACAATTTTTAACTGCTTTGATTATTCATAACATAGTATTTTAGGTATAGATAGGCTAAAAAAAGGCAAGCTGTGTGTTTCAGAGCATTTTAGACAAAGTAGCCTCTGTTACTTTGCAAACGTCTGCAAGAGAGAATGAACTTTTTCAAAGCTTTTTCTTTTCAACATGCACAGGCTGCTTGCACAATTGCAGTTTACAGAGCAGATGTTCTTAATTTGGGCCGGGGGAGGACATGACGGAAGAGTTGTCGTAAGTGATCTGATTCCTTTTTCTGTTTTTTCTTCTATTCAGCCCTGCCAACCATTATGTCAAGTGTGTCATGAAGCAATCGAACAGTTCATACAGTATGGAATTCTTTTGATAGCCGAGGTAAGATGCTGATAGGATATCTCAGGTATTTAAAAAGTTGACTTGCTGTTTAAAAAGTTGACTTCCCCCTCTAAGGAATTAGTAGCACCTAAAATATTCTTGAGAGACCAGAAAGATAGTGCCAGATAATCATATACATATTTGTACTGTCTAACTGCCTTTCTGGACCAAGTTAAATAGATTTGATAGCTCTGAATGTTGCATTTCCCTGTTTGGAAATGTGATGTTTTGCAGCTTTTATTGTTGACATGAAATGGAGGATGAACCTTAATAACACTTGATAATTCTTCAGCTTTGAATACAGAATAGGTTTCTGCACATACATGCACAGTACTTTTTCAGACAAGGACAGTTAAGTTCATTCAGACTAAACAACATTCCCCAAGAGAGATTTTTAAGGCTGCAGAGTCTAGTGGGTAAGCTCAATGGTATTTGCATGCCTCAAGGGATAGAAGAATCAGTAAAAGCTATAATACTGTGCTGTGAAGTGGAAAATACAGGGGAGAGAAACATGTTTACCCCTGATAGTTCTGTTGTTTCTGAGATAATAGTATCTTGGGCACATGCAAAACTAGCCAAGATCCCCATTGTCTAATTGCTTTTGATCCCTCATTTGGGCTGTCAAACAGCAAACCTCACTATTTAAGGGATTTCTAAGGTGTTAACACTTTCTTTTTGAGCAGCAAAGTATACAGGTATGTAGAGTCTTATCTATTTGTGTATTTTCCTGCCAAAATAGAACATTTTGACCCTTAGAAAATCCACCTGAAACATGGAGCTTTGCTGTTTGATAGCTGAGTTGAACTGTCAGTGAGCAACTATACCTGTAAATCAGATCCCTGCTGGTTTTGTATTTTCCCAAGGACCCTGGGAGTGTCAAGATTTGTGCAAATCCACCCAGAGATTTTTTTTAAATAAGTACAACCCTTTACACACATTATGGGGTGAAAAAACATTTTTAAGAGGTGGGGCAATCTCAGGCAACTGCTCCAAGGTGCCACTGGATCATTTTGATGGGAATGTTCATAACTGCCAAAACAGAATTGCCAAATGGGATATGAGAGCTGCCTTCTGCAGTCTCTGGGAGAAGGGAATAAAAGGGAAGAACAAGCTAAGGTGATCCAAAATGGCTTATGATCATGAGGGGTGGGATAGTGTGCCTGCAGTAGGATGCCTATGAGAGGAGTGAGGAGACTACTACCCATGGTATGCATTAGGAATAGGATGGCTTATGCCATAGAAACCCTTGCACTGTTTCTCTTTCATTCATGGTGAAGTTTTGCCTTTGTACAAAAGGAACACTCTTATTTGTCCACTGATGTGGTCCTGTTAACCTGCAGTATCAAGTACTTTAATGAACACTTTGTCCTGTAGAGGGCACTGTTCACATTGATATTGATGCTCTTAGCTTTTTCTTCTTTTCAAACATCTAGCTCTCACTGGTTTGTGGGTCCTTTGCAATGCTGTTCAAATATTTTTATGAACAGGATCAAGGAAGCTATAAAAGAGAAGAAGACTTCCTTTAGAAAATGGAAGCCTTGCCCAGATGAGGAAAACAAAAGGGAGTACATGCTTATACAAAGGAGACATAAGCAGAGAAAAAGAGATGCAAACATGCATTTTAAGGACCATATTGCTAACAACATCAAGGCCAACAATAAAGAGTGCTTTAAATGTAGAGACAGTCTGTGGGGTACAGATGAGTTCCATTCCTGAGAATGTCCTTAAGTTGAATTTGTATGTAAATAGGATGATAGATAGATAGATAGATAGATAGATAGATAGATAGATGATCCTACTTACGTACAAAAGGAAGTAACTATATATAGATGATCCTACTTACGGTGCAAAAGTTACACACACACACACACACACATATATATATATGTCATGGTTAGCTTGACAAAGCCAAATGTTTGTTTTAGTATAGTATGGGTTAGGGTATAAAATAGTATATTTTACATTTCTATGCACTTATGAAACTCTTCCATATACACTAAAACATCTCAAACACAATATAGTACATTCAGACCTCCACATTCGTGGGTTTCCACTGAAAGTGGAAAAACTGCAAATATCTCTATCCTCCCTCCCAAATCTTAATGCTGTGTACACTAAGAAAGAATTGCTTCTTTCTGTCTCTCAGACTTTGGCCTGATCCAGCAGTGCTCCACTTTTTCATTTATTACATTCTTATTTCTGTCCTCCCTTTCACTCACCAGTGTCTCCTCTTTGCACCAATGCTGGAGGGATTTCCATTTCCAGATGGGCAGGTCAAAAAGGCTTGATTTGGAGGCCTCCCTCACTCCTCCCCTTTTGCTTTCTGTCTCTCTACAATGATGATGATTTTCTGCAGTAATTTTAAAAAATAAATAGGCTTTAGGGCAGCTCATTCAGAAGTATGAATGTTTGTAACTAGGATGTTCATAACTCAGGGACTGCCTGTATTAGGAAAAGGAAACCAGCTGGGGCAGTAGTTGGAAGATTGAATGGTAATGGTGTTAAAGCAGTACAAGGACAAGCTGAATGACCCCTTTTTTCATCAGTCTTTACTGAAGAAGATATAGGGCAAAAACCTATGTTTGAACTGATGTTTTCAGAAAGGAAGTGAAAGGGACAGTGGCAACCAAAGATTACGTTCTCAACCTAACAATAAATTGGAAGTTAATAAATTAGTAGGCCTGGATGGTAACCATCACAAAATTCTTAAAGCACTCAAATATAAAACTGCTAATCTTTTAACAAAAAGATGCAATGTGGCCCTAAGATTAGTCTCTGTACTGGAGGACTAGAGAATGGCCAGTGTAACACCATTTTTAAAAAAGGGATCCAATCAGGCTGCAAGAAATTATAGGCTTGCTGTTCTGGGTAAACTGATTGAATGCATTCTTAAAGATAATAAGCATGTAGAAAGAAAAGCCTTGCTGACAAAACATCAACATGGCTTCCACAATCTTAAACTCTGTCTCACTAACCTTTTAGTGTTTTTGAGATTACCAGTAAATGTGTGCATCATCATGATCTAGTAGAAGTTATTTACTTGGCTTTCAAAAGACTTTTGACAAAGACCTTCATCAAAGGCCTCTGTGGAATAAGAGGAGTGGTCCTCTTATGGATGGGTAACTGGTTAAATTACAGAAAATAGAGAATGGGATTAAATGGTAAATTCCCCCAATAGAAGGATATAAACAGTGAGGTTCCATAGGGATCTATATTGGAACCATTTTTTTTTAACTTAAACTTATTCACAAATGAGCCGGAATTAGTAATGGGCAGTGAAATGGTCAGATTTGCTGATGGTATCAAATTACTTAGGATGGTTAAACAAACAAAAAAGATGGTAAGTAATTCTGAAAGGATCTCCCAAAGCTAGCAGACTGGACATCAAAATGGCAAAGGTGGCTCAGAGGTAGAGTGATGGCCACTAATTTGAATGGCTTTAAAGTGGGATTGTGCGCTTTCATGGAGGATATGGTTATCTAGGGCTACTAGTCTTATAGAGTATTTGTTGCCCCAGTGGAAGAAGCAGTCTGCTTTTGTGCAGCAGTTGCTGGAGAGTATGGGTGAGAAAGAGTTGTTGCACTCATGTCCTGTGGGAAGGTTTCCTACAGTAGCTCATTGGCCACTGTATGAAGAGAATGCTGGATTAGATGGGCTTTGCCTGATCCAGCAAGGTTCTATCTGGAGGACACCAGGCTTGGAAAGGCTGTACTGGATGGTCAGACAAAGGCTAGTAATTGTCATTTTGTTGGTCTGTATTAATGGGCACACTAGAAATACCTTTATAAAGCACAGCGTAATCTTGCTTCTACAGTTGCATGGATAGATCCATACAATGTTTACAGGGAACATTCCTCCTTGCCAGTTGTGAGCACTTAATAGGGGTATTGATGTCCCATCCTCTACTTGTTTGGATAACATTTGGGTTCTGAAGTACGTGGTCAAGCAGTAGTTCAAAGCTCAAATCTCTCTACAATAGTTGCTCCAGAGAGGTTACAAAAAGGGGGAAAAAACCCTTACTCAAGCATGCTACTGTTGGTCTGATTCTTACTTCTTACTTCTATATTAAGCAAGATGAACAGGAGGATATTAGTCCTACCGTTGCAGAGCAACACTGGGAAAAGAAACTACCAGAGCCATTGTCTTGGAGGAGTGATGAAGAAGATGAAGACAGTGATTTTGGTGAAGAGCAGAGAGATTGCTACCTAAAGGTACTACATTCCCTATAGGAGCAACTGTTACTCCTAGATATTTCAAATTTGTAACTGTATTGAACAGAATGGCTGAGAGGTAATGTGAAATTTAGGCTTAATCAAGGATACTTGAGATAATCTGAGACTGGTTTTGTTGAAAAGTAAAGAATTCCTCTTGCATTCTTCATGCTCACTTATGGTAAGGTACCCAGATTTATTTGTGCACTGAGTTTACCCGCATCGATAATCCTGTTGAAATGGGGACACTGTTATTTTGTAATTGATTTTTGGTATGTAATCTGACAAATCCTTTCTTAACTTCACAAAGGTAAGCAGTTTGGCTCTGAAATAGAGCCATTAACTCTGTTAGATACGTTATTAGACTCCTTATTTCTTTGAAGGCAGTGTGTTAAAAATTCTTAAACAGCAATCAAATCAAACAAAAGTCATTATTAAAATGGGGCTAAGTGATGACAATAAGAACAATAGAGAATTAATAAGAAAGGACACAGCCCCATCATAGTGCAAAGAGGACAGATTGGACCCACATTCTGGTCTTTAGTAGGGGAGACTTTGTTTCTCTGAGTGAACTGTACAACACGTTTGAATCCTCTTACTGGTTTCCAAAGGCTGCAAGGCAGTAATGGGTCTTTTTTCAGGGCTGTTCCAAGCGTTACATTGAGGAGTGGCAGCAAAGCTGTTCATGGAAAGGTGGCAGGAGTCCTCTTTGCTCACAGCCAGTGATGCAAGGCATTGAGCGAAGAACAGTATTAGCCCAGGCCTTTCCCAATTGACAGCAGATGAAATTATTCCCCAAGCATGCTGATACCTTTGTCTGGTTTCTGAGTAACCCCATATTGCTATTACCTTATAAGACAAGTGGAAGCTGAAGCAAAACATTGCCACATTGAGCATTACCTTTCAGAATTCCAGGTGCTGCATTTTATTCCCCTCCAACAATCACTCTGCAGTTGATAGCCCCCTCATTCGAATGCATGGGAGAAGAGGATTCTTCTCTAAGAGCTTTTCTATGAAAATTTTCCCAGCACAATTTTGGATGTCCCTCAAGCCTGCCAGGATCTCTCTCTAGTGTGTGGCTGTGACATTTAGAGCACATTAGGACTGGCACTTGGAGAATTGGTGATATATACTGTATATGATACATGTATCGTGTATTTGTGGATTGGGAAAAAAGATCTAGCGTGCATAAGGGTTTGCTGTATCATACTTTATCTTCCTTTGCTGCTCATGACTGAGTAGCGGCTGTGTTCTCTTCTTGCCTTATGTAGGTGAGTCAGTCAGAGGAACACCAGCAATACATCACTTTCCTGCAGAAGCTGCTGGGACCCTTACTTGAGGCATACAGCTCTGCTGCCATCTTCATCCATAATTTCAGTGGTCCGGTTAGAGAATCTGAATATCTTCAAAAATTACACAAGTACCTAATAATGAGAACAGAAAAGAATGTTGCAGTATATGGTATGTCGAACATCTGCTTTCTGTGGAAAACATCCCCTGTGCTTAAATATATTTTTCTTAGTATTTACCTATGTTCAGCCTGACAGATGTTTCCTTTCAATTTCTCTACCTTTACAGCTGAGAGTGCCACTTACTGCCTTGCAAAAAATGCAGTGAAAGTCTTTAAAGACATGGGAGTAAGTATTCTGTTTGTTTTTATAGTCTCTTATAGTACACCCAAACATGTGTATTAGGCATACTAAGTTCTTGGTATATGTTCTAAGTTCTGAGATTTACGCACTGGTAAATGTAAAGCTTAATCCTTAAATTGAGAATGTTCTGATTCACTCATCACAGTAATCTGCTGTAGTTTATTTCAATTTATTTCAATCTTCCTCCAAAACATGTGTCAGCTGCCATAAGCTACAGCAGGGGCACATTGCAGCCAGTTATGTCATGTAGACATGGGCATCCTTGGTTAGTTAGCTAGTTAGTTAGTTAAGATTCTTGTATATTATTCTCTCAGCACATTGCTGTCAGAATAAACATTAAAACAACATAACAAGTAACCAAAAATTTATACAAGAATACATGTGAAAACCACAGATGAACAACCATAACACAGAATAAATAATAACATCTTAAACCAGTGCAACCAATTATTATAATAAAAACCTTTATAAAAACACACCTCTAATCAACAGTTAAAATAACAGTAAAATAAACATGTTTTCACTTGGCACTGAAATGATTAAAGTATTGGTTCCAGGCACACCTCCCTAAGGGATTGGTTCCATACATGAGGCACCACTACTGAAAAGGCCCTTCCCCTTCCTTGCTTCCTTTAAAGGTGGCTCTCTCATAGAAGGCTCTCGGTTGAAGATCTTAGGGTCCAGGGAGGTATATAAGGAAAAAGGCGTTCCTTAGGATATCCAGGTCCTAAGCTATTTAGGGATTTATACATTAATATGAGCACCTTGAAGCAGGATAACCTTTGGTTAACCCTAGAAGAACCATGTGAAGTGGTGTACAGTGGTTTATTGTAACATGAGAACTGTCCCAGTGCAGTATAAAAGTATAATGAAACTTTTAGGCTAAAGGGTTGTGCTAAGGCAGGGTCAGAAGAATGGATCATCTCAGGCAATTTGTATTGTATCACAAAGAGCAATAGAGTAAGTCCCTGATGCTAGAAGTACCTGATTATCACTGAATGTGTTTAATGGGATAAACACCCAAGTCTTGAGGATAAAAATCTGAAATATATTCTGAAGTCTTCAATTTTAAATACAACTGTAAATATCTGCAGCCAAGTCCTATGTGTGTTCGGGACTCCTTTGTCTCTGATTTATTTGTTCCACAATGCCCGTGTCATTTGTCTTAAATATCTGAATTTCCATTTTATCCTTTAAATTATTCTTTGAGACCCTGCCACATTACCTTTAGAAACAGTGGGCCTACCGAAAACCTTTAAGTCTGGCTCCCAGAACTGCTGTCTAAATTCTCACCACCATTAGGACCCACCATATACTGACCATTCTCCGACATGTTCTGTGCTGATGCTAGATAATAGTTTCTATTCCTGGGCTAGCACTATCATAGAAGTTGTACATCCCCGTCCCCCCCATAATAACAAAAGCAGTTACACCAAGTAACTTCTTTTCAACCTTTAGAAGACTGTTCTTGGTAGGAGAATAGAGCAACTCATTTTAAGCCATTAAATGTGACTTGCAACTAGAGATACAAAGTTATGGCCAGAATCTGGTTCTTTTCTGCTTGCTGAGCTTCTTTCTTGTGTTTAGCCCTGGCCAGGAAGCGAGCTGACCTGAGATCAAATCTACAAATGCTTGGAAATGCTAGCAGACCCCTTCTTTGTATAAAGTGACATGTTTTGCACAAATTACGCAGAGAATGCAAAGTTCACACATCACTTGGGTTAGAACTGCACTTGCACGGTGCCTGCATAGGTGCCATGTGCACCAGCCAACCTCTTGGACTTGCTTCCTGCCAGATGTCACACATGAATGCTCAGTGCTCAGATTTAGAGCACAGAGAAAGCAGGCTGGAATCTGGGGAGTTTTGCCAAGAAAATCCAGATTTCTCACCCAATTGCAGCTTGTGCATGCATGCACCCAATCCCTGCTGCTCTTTACTCCAGAAAAACAATGGGGTGGATTGTAGGGCTTTGTCAAATAGTCTAGGTTTTTGCATGCCGATGTCAAGATTACATGTAGTAATGTCCACTGTCAATGTGCATCAGCCTGATGCTCACCTGTAACATAGTGCCAGCTGGCAAGTGTGTGCCAATCCTAAAAGCCTCGCTGATTCGCTCTGGCACTCTGACATCCAGAGAGCATGCATTAGTTCTCCAAGTTGTTTTTGAAAACTGTGGTTTCTTGACGACACTATGAATGCTAATCTGCTCTTCTGTAGTCCCTGACAGTTGAACAAAAAGCTTTGGTGCAGCATTTTTCCTTGTGTAAATGCCCAGTTGCAGGCACCATTACTCTTCTATAGGTGCGCAGTAATTACTAGAATCAGGTGTGAGACCACTGAAAATCTTTCTTTTTCTCAAGTGATATTTAATCATGCCTGTAAGATTTGCAGTGTGTATCACAGCATTTTGATAAACCTTTTCAGTTAAACCTTTTCAGTCATGAATCTGTTTTGGTTTTTTGTGTTTTTGTGGGGCTTTTTTGTTTTGTTTTTCATGTTTTGTTTTGTTTTTGGCTTTTCCTAGTCACAGCATGTATCAATATGTAACTTATGTGTTTGACTCTGATAGAGTAAGAGTTCAGTTGTGTATCGTATTGGAGATGCATTTTCACTTAATGGCATTTATCAGTTGCAAAATGTTTATTGGTGATGAAGTACATTTTAGAATCCTACAGATTGTAAAAGTTTCTGTGGTTGTCCTCTCTTGGCCACCACATTGTATATGGTATTATTGTGTCAATGGATGACTTTTGCAAATTGAAAATGACAGTCTAAAGTAACATGGCTGTGAGAATATTTGAAATGTACAGCTCTGCACTTAATTGGAAAAGAAATAGTGTGTCTTGATTTTATTACTGACCACACTTCAACATTTTGCTTTCAGGTGTTTAAGGAGACAAAGCAGAAGAAAGACACTATTTTGGAACTGAGCAGCACTTTTCTACCTCAGTGTAATCGGCAAAAACTGCTGGAATTCATTCTGAGCTTTGTAATGCTGTAGAGTGCATCTCTTGACTTCTCCCAGCAAGAAGTTGGTAGATTGGAGAATGTGACATGAAGCTTCAGGGCTTTTTGCTGCTTCCATAGTGTTTATAGTGCCATTTTTGGTAAGGCCTTATCTGATCCAAGCCACAGGAAGACAAGTGCCTTCTTAAATACACATTTCTGGAACTATGAGATCTGGTAACCCAGTAAACACTTACAACATTTTGGATGCAAGTGATAAGCCATGTTTGCTCAACAGACAAAAAAATCTTGTTTTTACATGAACACATCAAGTATTGTGTTTTTACACTGCAATACATTACATTTACTTCAAGACTAATGACTGTGACAAATGTACAAACATATTTACCAGCAACCTGTTATTTTAATACTGCAGTTCTGAATAACAAAAAATAATATGGAATAATATGCAAACTGCAAACACGATGTCTATAGACAAACTCATTGTATGAGTTCTTAAAACATGACAACTCAGCCTGTGAATAAGTATGCAGTGTGGGTTGTTCATGGAACAACCCATGATACACCCAACAGATTATCAGGCTTAGTGTGGGTTATTCTCCCATTCTGTCCCCCCACTCCTCCAGTCAGTATCTCAGGGTCCTTGTGGCGGAACCCATCTTCTCTCTGTTTCAGTCATGAGCACATTTTCAATTGCTGCTATTTGCATATTTGGTTCCTATTCTGGAGTCCTGTGCTGTCATCAGTGACAGCTGCACTTCGGAGTCACCATTGCTGGCTTGTTGCTCATTATTAATTATCAATCTGTACCTTGAAAAGCAAATTGGTGAAGAATTTTTTGCTGAAAGAGGATGGCAAGTAAATCTTTCCTTTAGCGGTGTGATTTTCTGGTTTTTAATTATTGCTCTGACAGTGCCCTCCATTTTTTCCATAGAACACTCCAGGTGCTCCAGAGGAAAGATCTATATCCCATCCCCTTATGGTGGTCTCTAACTTTTGACAGCTGTCAGATGATTTTCTTTTCTTTAAAAATGTGTAAGGCAAATTGGTACATTATTTTTATGGGGGTAGGAGGTATTGCAAATTTATGGATGTGTTTTTTCTCCCCCCCCCCCAAATATGTTATGCGAGTGCAAATTAATCTATATAGAGTCTTGTCCTACTGCATTTTGACAGCAGAGAATTGCCAGGTCGTTGGCCCAGCAATACTAAATATTTTAGACAGCTTTAAGGACACCCTTGTACAGGGATGAAAAAAAAAGTTTAAAAACCAATTCATCTCGACTGGGCACATTTCTGATACCCAGTTGCCTCACAAAGAGGCCATTGAATGAGCCACTGAAGGGGCGCTTGCGCATCAGTGGAGTGGTATTCACTGGCTGTGGCACAAGGGGCTTTTGCTACTCTTGCTGAGCAGCTAATTTATGGCGTCTTGCAACCTGTGATGGGATCAGGCTCCCAGGTTTGGATGACACCACAGTTCATTGTAGGTTCAACAGTTCCTAGAACAAGGTGTGGGTTGTCCCGTGGCTTTATTTCCTCCAAACAAGCAGCTCTTTAGGAAGTGATTTGGGTTCAGACAAGATAGCAACTTGCCATGGGTAGTTGTCCCCAGTTCGGTTGCCATGTTGGATCAACCCAGTCATATTGCAATGATGTGATTTTTAGGAGAATGGAATGCTATGGGAGGAAAGAGCATGTATGATTTTGTTCTATGGATTATTACGGCAGACACTAACAATGATCAAATAAAAAGTCTATCATTAAGGATGAGCTGACTAGCAACCAGTGATCCATACATAAGACAGTTACAGTGGCAGGATGATGGTATGAAGATCAACTGGTCTTTCTACATAATAGGAATGGTGAACTAGTGTATCAGTGTATTAAGCAGCTGAACCTTTTTCATTTAGCTCTAAAACAGCTAATATTCTGATTTGTCTCTGAACAAGAACGTTGAATCTGTTTGTTGCCTGCTTGCGTTTTGTTCTCTAAAATGATTGTAACTTAATGTCACAACATTGAAATGTTACGTAAGGTGATTAATCCATTATAACATTGAATAATTTTTGATGGAAAGTGATTGTAATTGCATTGAAGGCAATGATAACTCTGAGAGAGGATTAAATGAGATATGCAGTTTTACATACTAGATATTGGCTAAAGCAATAAGCATGGCATCAGTTATACAGAGAGAAAACTTCTTGCCTTATCAGTTGAAGAAATATTTCCACTGCAGTGTTAACAATACTCTCAGCACCTTCTTCCTTCTATTCAGTTGAAGCCTGGGAAACAATTTGATTATGAATATACATTTTAGTTTTGGGCTAATTTTTAAAAGCATTCTCATGTGATAATAGCATTGTGCATTCACTCCAGTGCAGAGCTTCTGTACAGTTTTAGTCTGCCTGTTTACTCCGCATTGGTTGTAGTAATATTTTCTACAGATACATTTTATGGATTAAAACACTTAATAAATTGCAATATTTTGTCAGTGTTCTCACACAGCTCCCCATGAGTGGAACTGCTGTGCATGTCTACAGTCACTAAACAGGTGCTTAACATTTTGAGATGAATTTCTGAACCAAAGTTGCATCAAATCAGTGACAGCAGCGGGCAGTTAAACCTGAACTGATGAGGTTGTTCTTTTACTATTTTCAAGCAAGATAGTAGCTGATGTGAATTCTATTTGTTCTAATACAACCTACTAGTTTCTTCGAGCAATTACTTCTCATCCTTGCTAATGTGCACTATTTGTTAAAACTGAATGTATACTCTGAATAGCAATTTCTGAATATTGCTGATGGCTTCCATTTAAGGTCAGATAAGTAGGCATTTGTAAATAAATAACTTCTCTTTTATCACACTACAGTACACATTAAGTAAGCTAAGCAATATAATGGGGATGATATTTGCCTAATTTTAATTAAAATGTTCTGTCTAACTTAAAAGAAATGGAAATCTAGGGATTCAAAAGCAATTTCTAGATATTAATAAGAGTAAGTTATTACACTGTTAAAATGTTGTTCTTGGGGGTACGGTGGTGTCCATTTGAATTGATGATAATATGTATGGTATAATTAGCTTCTGGATGTGCAGGGATGCTTTTCAGTGTAGATTTCATAAGCAGAGAGACTTTGCATGTGCAGATATGTCAAGCTGTGAATGTTGTGCAGAAACAGACCTTGTGACATGGATGTGAATAATATGCCCAGTGTTGCATGGGGTGTGGCTTTGCTTTTCCACAAACGTACAAAGCTTTTTACTGCAAAGTTACTAAATAGACTGCTTCCTTTCTGGGGGTTATTTTTAAACCTTCATTTTTCTGTTGCTAAGGCAAGTTCTAGTTTCCAGTATTTAATTATGATGACTTATATTAATTCTGCATCTAGAACAGCCTGCACCAACCCTCCAGGGGGTTTGACCTACGGTTCCTACCAGCTTCTGCCAATGTGTCCAATGGTCAAGGAGGATAGAAGTTGTTCTGACTGTAAACATCTAGAGGACACCAGGTTGGGAAAGGCTAACCTAGAATATTAAAATATATATTTACATTTATTTACTTAATGTAACCAACTTACGAAAATACAGATTTACATCTACAAGTTAATAGAAAGAACATTCCACTTACATCTTCAAATGTTACTTGTTGATTTGTGTAGTATTTTGTTCTCTTTTAGAGAATGGATAATGTTAGCTTTCCATATGATTGATTTCCTAAGGATATGTAACTATTCTGTTACAATATTAACTTTCTTCTATAACTTAACTTTCCTTTCCTTTCCTCTGTGACACCAGATTTTTAAACCAATCTCTTTGCCTGTTATTTTGCATACAGTATATACAATATTTCCCATATGCAAAACACACACACAAACATGATGTTTTCGACAGTGAAGGGCTGGAGGCTGATTGCAAAATACTGTAACTGCTCCATATTTCTACTTGTGAAACCAGCATGGTCTTGAAAAATGTTTGAGCACACTACTTTTTCCATTTTAACATCTCGTTATGTACCTCCTGTAAGAAGCACAGGGCTACATATTAATTTTATTTTAATAAACAATTTGAAAATGCTTCGTGATGTGACTAAATCTTTAGAGGCTACATCTCCTCTCTCCTCCCACAAAAAAGGCAAAAGAACCAGATCAAAAATACTACCTCACTTCATGACGCTTGTGAAGCCTACTCTTGTATACTGCCGCTCCAGTTGAACTTGACTTTGGGCCAGTCACAGACTCTCAGCCCAACCTACCTCACGGGGTTGTTGTGGGTATAAGGGTATGTGGGTATAAGGGTATGAGAACAGGACGAAGAGAATGATGTATGTCATTTTGAGTTTTTTTTTAAAGTAGGATATAGATCAAATAATATAGACTTCATCTGGTCGAAAAACAGTGCCAGTTCATGGGTTTCTAGACAATTGTCTACTGTTTAGCAGCAAAGGACCCTCAGTTCAGGTGTAGCACTGTAGAAATAAGGAAACACACTAGTTCATTAACCTATAAGTGGAGAGTTGTATCATTCCACAAATTAGATGCTGATCCTGATTTGCCAAGTGTGGGGATGAACCTCCTGAGTCTCTGGAACAGACTCAAGCCATTGCTCATAGCATTGTTTGAACTTTTGTGACAAGTCACATGCTTCAAGTTAAATGCTGATTGGTTCCTAAAAAAGGAACCTGAACAATCTTGGTGTAGTACTGAGAATCATTCTTCATGCTGCATTCAATAGTAGCATGCAGTAATCCTTTCTTTTTAGGGCTTCAGTCTAAATTGGGGCTACAGCATATGGAAAGGGAGATTTAAGGCATGCCCAATCCTCATGTTTTCTGAAATTTCCCTCCTGTGTATGAGTTTCTTCCCCACATCTACTTTTTTATATATATATTTGTTCCCTGGGCACCAGCAATGCTGGGTTTTAGCAATTGCATTTAGGGTGTGACATTCCTAAGTTGCATGTAGTGGTCATACCCTTTCGTGGCTCAAATTTGCCCCATTGCTTGCCTGTAAAAACTGTAGCTTCCCTCCAGGTTAATTACAGTGGTCCCCAGTTTATTTAGATTTTAGTTGAACAGAGACAGATCCATGCAATGTGATCAAATGTTTGGAAACTAGTTTATTAAAATATGTTAGGCAAGTATTCTAAAGTAATGCTAATAAAAGTATATATACAGAATATCAGTTTAGATTATATGTTACCCCCTGGGTTAGACAGCCACAAGCTGTCCACCCCAAGAGGAACTGTTTGGATAGCACCCCTCAAGATGGCTCCCATGGAAGATGTAGCCAGTGACATAATGGCTGCCATCACTGTAAGGGCATGGATAGTCAAAAGGGGTGGTGGTAAAGGGAGTAATAGCAAAGCCAAAAGCTGGAAAGGAAGGGGAACACTGAGGAAAAGGAGTAGAGGAGAGAGAAAGCTAGGGATGGGGAAGGGAGAAATAGGAGTTGTGGGGAGAAAACAAATCAAGGCTAGAATTGGGAGTGACGAGAGAGCAACAAAGAAATGTTTGTGCCGAGAAAGAAAAAGTACCATCAAGAAGCAACTCTTCCCTGCCTGCCTGAGAGCCTGGCATTCTAAAATTGTTCAAGTCTTCTTTAAATTAAAAATTAATTAATTATTTAAATTAATTTCTAGAGAGGACATAGAGTGGAGAGTTTCATGGGGACTATTGTTGTCTTCATAGGCATCATGTTAGGGACCCCTGAGTTAGATCCTTTGCCAAATTCTCAGTTGTTATAGTTTGTTCCATGTCCAGAGTTTTGGGGTCCCTCCATAATCATGCCAGTCATGGTGAGGGCAGAAGAGTTATTGTTACTTTGCCTACTGTTTTTTCCCTATGGAGCTTAAGGTGGTGTGGGCCCAGGTTCTTCACATAGTCACTGCATGATATTGGTTGAATGAACTTCATAGCTGTGTTGGGGACTGAAACTAGTTCTCCCCACTTCTAAGCGGACACTGCAACTACTACACCAAGATCTATTAATTGTGATTCCCTTCCAAGGAGGAACCGAAAGGAGTAGAGGCACATGATGCAAATTTCGTATTTCCAGGGGCAAAGATTCTCCAACATTTACACAGAATATTTTTAAGAGGCCAGTTTTTGCATGTAACTTGTTTTCCTCTATAGTATGCTGCCTGCTTGGACAGCTATAGATACCTTCATATTTATGATGTGGCAAGTGGTAACTTTGTTCCTGCATATTATATTTCTATGGAATTCCTAGTAAAACAAAATAGAAGCAACAAGAAGGGGGGGGGGACTTTATTGGGGCACAGTTGTCTGCTAGAAGGTCAGTCTTTCTAGAAAGTGGAAGTTTCAAAGTTTATTAGATAAGCTGGTGATGGATAAAGTTGCATCATCTTCTGCTTTTCAATTGTCCTTACCAAACTGACTTGCAAGTCAATACATTATCCTCCAGAAACCAGCCATGGTTGATACCCTAACCTACCCTACCTAACCCCAACCCCACACACAATCCTCTTTATTCCTTTATTCCATTTCTGCATTTCCTCATAGCCAAAGCTTTCTTCTCTACATGCAGAAGGTTTGAAAACAGCCCAATGAGAGGCCTTTTGAAAAAACATGCAAGTAACAGTTGTGGGATGGTGGTGTTGGGGGCACAGTCTGGAGACAATTACTCTTTCTATCCCATAAATATGCCTGCTTTTCTTGCATGAAGATCCAAGCAGTTTGTTCACTGTCTGCAACTATAACTAGCAAACTTGATATTTAGGCTTTCTATTCATGCTATGATTGTCTGACCAAGTATCCTCTAGAATAATTCTTAAGATTAAATTCCAGCCCTGGGTACTTGACGAAGATCACGTTATGGGAGTGTACAAAGGGAAACTGAGCTATGTGAATCTTGGAAGTACCTGGGCAAAAGCAGCAACAGCAATTTTAAAATGAAATTCTTATTTATATTTGCAATTTCCTTGGGGCTAACAAGAGTCCAAGAGTGTGACGCTGCATATTTGCTTTTGCAAAACCCTTATTATAGCTAAGGTTGGAGAGACAAGCAAGACACAGAAGTAGCTTGGCAAGGAGGTCTGCACTACAGTGGCTCACAACTTTTCTGTAAGCTGTTGTATGTGCCATGCTCAGATGTAAGAAATGAGAAACTTCTTGAGGGCTGACTTGGGAAAATTCTGCCACAGTAAGATGATTGCGAAGAGAGCAAAGCATGACTTTTCCCCCTGTTCAGAATGGGGAGGTGCAGATTTAGCAACAATTGATTTTGCTTTGGAAACTTTTGGTTATACCCCCCTCCCATCAGATATGCATCAAATTAATTAGGGAACAATAGCTTGTGCAAAACTTTTTATTGATAGCTGTTGTACTTCAGTTCCTTTCTGTGTAGTTGTCTCCCACCTCCCACAGTTGCTTAAATTCAAAATGTCAAATTAAGCACCTTTTATAATCTTGCGGTCTCTGTGTAATTCAGTTTTGATCATAAGATTTTATTAAATCTGCTTGAGCTCAGATTCTGATGAAGGGGGCATTGTTCTCAGCTTCTCATAATGATGGAACCATTATTTAGGGAAGCAGCAGCAGCAGCAACAACAACAGCAACCTGAAGTGGTTGAATAGTAAGGACTATCATTATGTAAAATGCTGCTGGAGTGAGTATTAGAGAGATGAATAATAAAATATACTCAGTAGCATCTTTGTAACACTGTCTATGGAAGTGTGAGGCCAATGGGATAGAGGTATTCCTTCAATTCAATGATCACAGAAAAAAAATAAAAATCAGCATGGCCAGTACCAGTGGCTGTAGTGACTGGCAGTTATGGGAATTATGGTGCAATGCATCTGGATGGCACCAGACTGGGGAAGGCTGATTTAAAAGATACGCATAAATATAAGAAAAGAAAATGCCAGCAGTTTAATGAAGCACCTTTAAAGGTGAATACATTTGTTTGTTCTCTGCGGAAGGCTGAGTAATTCTTACAGAACTTGGGTAATGTCATTTGCTGTCTCAGTGTCTGATAGGTACCCCCAGGTGTGTTCAATATTTTGCATAACATATGGAAAGACAATACCTGAGATTTTTTTGTAGTCATTGGAGAAGGATTTAACTCTACATTTCTCATTAAATCTGATGGCAGCTGTGGCTTTTTAAAAAATCAGAACAATGATCATTTTCCTAAACAGCCTGCATATCTATGAATATATCCAACTGGTACTCTCCTGGTAGGACAGTACCAGGCAGTGGGGAAGAGGAGAAATCAGGCTGTTGTAGGTGTTTGAAAGTTATTTAGTGCATGTTCTGAAACTGGAGGGAGGAAGCCACTCTTGAATTCATAAAGCAAGCAATGGTAAAACGAATAAAACCGGACATAGCTAGTGGTCAATCAATTTGCACTTGAAGGTGTGATGCTGAACCCACTTTGCTGCTGCTTTTAAACTTGTATTTCACCATAAGATTTCTCTGCTTATTAAGAAACACATTTCTTGTATGTTCCATGTTAGCGGCCTTAATCTTGCTCATCCTTCTCAATTTACAGTATATCTGCACCCAGTGTGCAAGTGTCTGTGTACTATGCACAGGTTTAATGATCCACAAGAATAAAGATCCCAGGTTTGTGATGGGTCATTAACCTCAAATTGAGCCTTAGCTTCATAGTAAAGCTTTGAGTGCTTGAGCAGAGCTCAATGAATTCTTTAAGATGCTACTGCATCAATTTCTTATACCCTTCCTAGCCTTCTTATCTTCTGGCCTTCCAGGAGTTGCAGCTAACCAAGTCAGCTACAGCCATTAAATTATGTTCAAAATATAGATTTATATACCCACATTACACATTCACAGACTTCACATCATCAGTTTGAACACAGCAGTGCACAGGAAACACTGGCAATGGGTGAACTAATGAGGTGCTTTTAAAACTGGAGAAGAACGGCCAGCAGCCCAAACCTACGCATGCATATTCAGAAGTCCTTACTGAATGCAGTGGGGCTTACTCTCAGCTTGGTACGTTGTGTTTAGGATTGCATCCTATATAAATTCTGTGGCAAATATTGGTAATAATATTATGCCTCACTGCTTATTTCAAATCTTATAGCTTCTGCG